CAGCAGTCAACATCATGAAAACGATAGGAAACACACAAGGCCAGGCACAATGTTATGGAGAACAACGTTGCAATCGCTTGGTCAATATGACAAGGCCCGAGAATATCTGGAGAAAGCACTCGCTATCGATACAGGAATTGGCAACAGGGATGGAGAAGCAACAAGCTACGGAAACCTAGGAACTTTGTTCCACTCACTCGGTCAATATGACAAGGCCCGAGAATATCAGGAGAAAGCACTCGCTATCACAATAGAAATTGGTGACAGGGATGGAGAAGCAACAAGCTACGGAAACCTAGGAACTTTGTTCCAATCACTCGGTCATTATGACAAGGCCCGAGAATATCAGGAGAAAGCACTCGCCATCAAAATCGAAATTGGCGACAGGGATGGAGAAGCAGCAAACTACGGAAACTTTGGAACTTTGTTCCGATCACTTGGTCATTATGACAAGGCCCGAGAATATCAGGAGAAAGCACTCGCTATCAGAATAGAAATTGGCGACAGGGGAGGAGTAGCAAAAAGCTATGGAAACCTAGGAACTTTGTTCCAATCACTTGGTCATTATGACAAGGCCCGAGAATATCAAGAGAAAGCACTTGCTATCAGAATAGAAATTGGCAACAGGGATGGAGAAGCAACAAGCCACGAAAACCTAGGAACTTTGTTCCAATCACTTGGTAATTTTCAAAAGGCCCGAGAATGTCAAGAGAAAGCACTCGCTATTAAAATAGAAGTTGGCAACAGGGATGGAGAAGCAAAATGCTACGGAAACCTAGGAGCTTTGTTCCTATGCCTTGGCCAGTATAGCGAAGCTGAAGAGTGTATGGAGAAAGCACTGCGTATCCAAAAGAAAATTGGTGATAAAAGAGGAGAAGCAAGTAATTATGGAAACCTCACATGTTTGTTTCTCTCGCTCGGAAAGTATGCAAAGGCTGACGATTATCTAAAGAAGGCAATAGCAGTTAGAGAGGGTATGGGAGATAGAAGCGGAGAAGCAGTAGACTACAGACATCTTGGTAAAATTTCGTGTACGCGTGGTGAATATGACAAGGCTCAAGAATATTACGAGAAAGCCCTTACAATTCACATGGAAATCGGTGAGAGAGAAGGAGTAGTAGTCAACTATATCGATTTAGGATCGTGTTTTACATCGCTTGGTAAAAATGACATAGCCGAAGAGTACTTTAAGCAGGCTCTCCTATTAAGTAGGGATATTGGACAACACTTGCACGAGTTTTACTCTCTTTGTTATCTATCGGTGTTGAAGGTGTTACAATGTCATCTTGAAGAGGCTTCTTCGTATCTTTTTCAAGGCATCCAAAAGTTCGACACTTTGAGAGGTTTTCTTAAAGAAAACGATCAGTTTCAAATATCTCTTTTAGAAACGCACGGCACCTTTCCCTACATGTTCTTCAGTCGGTTGCTTTCTTCCACTGGTAAGCCGCAAGACGCCCTTTATGTTGAAGAACTGAGAAGGGCAAGAGGCCTGGCCAACCTGATGGCAGCTCGGTACTCTGTTCAAGAGCAGATCTCGAGCGACCCACAATCTTGGTGTGGCATTCAAGGGATCATTACAAAAGAAGCAGACTGTGCATACCTGTACATTTCGGTTGGTCAAAATGGTGTACGGTTTTGGATCATTAAAGCAACGGGAGCTATTCATTTTTCAGAAGAGGAAGTGAGCCTGGACAAAAACAAGGTGACCGGAATAGTCCCTGAGTTAGATGAGTATTTTAAAGAAGCCTTCCGCACCCACGCCATTTTACCCGAACAGAATTGCGAAGATCGATCTTTAGATGACACCGAAATGATGTCACTTCACTACGACAACCGCTCAGTGCTGCGTGACTACGACACCGAAGATTTCAAAACAAGTCTTGACTTGTGTTACAAGATTATCATTGCTCCTGTGGCCAGTTTACTGAATAAGCCCGAGATCATAATTGTCCCAGATTCCTGTGTGTACCAAGTGCCATTTGCTGCCTTGGCTGACGAAAGAGGCAAGTATTTATCAGAGACATGCAGGATTCGGCTAGTTCCCTCTCTCACGACTCTCAAGCTTGTTCAAGACAGTCCTCCAGATTATCACAGTGAGACCAGGGCACTGATAGTGGGTGACCCTGTGGTTGGAAAGGTGATTTACAAGGGAAGGTGCAGAAATATGACACCATTGCCATGTGCGAGAAAGGAAGCAGAGATGATTGGGGGACTTCTTGGCGTAACACCTTTGATAGGAGTTTCCGCGACAAAGCATTCTGTATTCCAAGCGATAAATTCAGTGAGCCTGATACACATTGCTGCCCATGGTGATGCCGAAAGAGGGGAGATTGCTCTTTCTCCTGAGCACCCTACCCTACTCCCACCTTTCCCTCGAGAAGAAGATTATCTTTTGACGATGGAGGATATTTCAAAGACTCGATTGCGAGCTAAACTAGTGGTGCTTAGTTGTTGTCACAGTGCTCGTGGACAGATTAGAACCGAGGGAGTAATTGGACTTGCCCGAGCGTTCTTGGGATCCGGAGCTCGTTCAGTGTTGGCGGCACGATGGGCCCTGGTTGACACAGCCACAGAGCAGTTCATGACTTGTTTCTACAAACATTTGTTCCGCGGTGAAAGCGCCAGTGAATCTCTCCACAAGGCTAGGAATTGGATGAGAAATAACGGCTTTGACAAAGTTTCTCAATGGGCGCCATTTATGATCATGAGCGACAACGTGACATTTGATTTTGGAAATTGGCTGGTGCCTAGCGCACCTTAAGAGCCATGACTTTGATAAAACCTCTGTAGCAGAATGAACCAGATTTAGTAAAGCTCAGAAATATTTAAGTGGCGATCTCTGTAAGAGCGGTCCCGGGGCATTTCGCAACGGAAAAAAGTTTTCCCTCAAACTTTGCCCAATAAACTATCTTTGGTAACAAGTAAATAAAACCACATTAGTTTCTGGAAATACGTTAAAATAAAATTTTTAGAGCTCTCAAAAGTCAAAGCTGTAAAAAGACCTTTTTTGACCTCTTGCGACATCGAAAATTTCAAAAGTTGAATAGCCCAGTCCTCGTATCACACCGCATGCAGCAAAAAATATTTTGTATTATTAAAGTATGTGATGTATAAGGTGTATAAAATACATTTCAATTTTGATATTCGTTTATTCAGAGGCTCGTCATAGTTTATTTAAAAACACTCGTTGGTCAGCTTTCTGAAATTGGTTAAAAGTACTCTTTCTTTCTTGGTTGATATTGCTCAAGTCCAGACCAGACCGTTAAAAAATCCGCTTGATTTCTGCTAATAAGATGTCTGGCTGCAGAAAAATATAAAAACATCTTGCACTTATTGATTTTCTTCGCCGAGGTGACTTCGAACTTTTAGCGATATTGCTAGCGTGACAGCCGATTATGCAAATTAGTTCATTGAGCAAACTCCGACCGTTTTATATAAGTAGCTCAATAAATCTTAGATTTTAACCATCTCAAGTAGAAAATATAGTAGACAGAGCTTTAAGACCACACCGATTAATACTTTAAGCATTTTAAAAGGCCAACATTTTGACAAAAGTTATTATCTCGTGACGAAAGACGTCAACAACAACGTATCGAATATCATAATTTGATTAGCGCTGGCAAACTCTTTTTTAAAAATTTGGCTTCTGTTATTTCATATTTGAGTTCTGACAGCTTACGCTATTCAAACCTGTATGAACATTTAAAAACCAAACTACAGGATTCTATCTAGTATAACCGGCGATAGCAGCACACACTGAAATACACCGTGACCAGTGACTCTGTCACGTAATTCCATCGTGTAACTGTCCTGAATACTTCTCACGTCTAAATAAAGCAGCGATTGCTCGGATTTCTAGCTGAAAGGGAAAAAATGATATTTGATCGTCAGACCTGTCTGCATAACAGTCTCTGTTCATAAGTTTAAAGAGTTCTTGTGAAAAAGGATATCGCATTCGCATAACGGGTGGACGTAATAACTAGATTGCATAACAACTGCACTGCGAAATCATTTCCTCCATTTTTGCAAGAGGTGCTGCATTTGCATCTTGCATTTAGAATGCGAGCTCAAAATGTTTGCACATGTCTCTTAGCATCTTGACTTTGAGACTAGGCAACCTTGCTTCTCTTGCCAACGAGCTCACATCATAGATATCAAACATGATTGGATGTTTCAATCTCAACATTACTGTGTTCCTCGCCTCTCTCAAACACCCTTCGTTTACATCAGACGCGGATGCTTCTATCAAGTGGTCGTTTGCGTCGGTGGCATCATCCGATTCTTGTTGTATTTTAGATCGCTGTTTAAGGTACAATCTCGAGAAGAAACCTTGAATCTGTATATTGGATAACCACTCTGTTCTATCGAACATTCTCTCTCCATCTATTGAACAAGCAGTTCGCATATCCTTTGCTACTTTCTCTGGGTTTGGTTTCTGCCAGTGTCCCATCCGATATTAAATTTCTGTGTCAAGTACTGCCTGACGTTTTGCGAAAGCCATTCACTTGCACCTCTCTTATGAAGAGCCCATCCCATGGGAAGCTTTGATGTGCTTGTCAAGGGTTCTGTGGCCACTGCAACCAGTTCAGTCGAACTTTCACCATCTAATGACAATGACTGAAAGTGATGAACCCACTACCTCTTCACTTTGTCATAAAGACTTTAAGTCATGCTCGCAGGCACAGGACGTTGATGAACTAGCTAGTTCATATGTTAGTCAAGGTCGGCCTGGGTCATAAAATCTTCATCGCAACCAGGTTCAGGGCATTGATAGGAACTACCGTCGTTGCCATCATTGCTTTCTCCTGCTGATGCAGTTCGTCGAGCAGTAGTGGGGAAAAATGGAATCTCCTCCACCAGATCCGTCTTTTTTCTGTGGAAAAATTGCAGTTTTAATTTTACCGAATAAACTTTCTAGGCCCAACATTAAACGCTCTCCAAACGCGCAGGCCCTCTTGGGTAAGTTGCTGAAAGTGGCAATCTTGATATCCGAGCTCTCGTAGAGATGATACCAGCTTACTGTTGTGATAGCAACCTGCTTCATCCGATCTTAGAAAGGCCTTTATTATTCCTGAATTTTGCAACTTTATGGTGACAAAGAGATTTTCTGACAGCACTGAAAACCAGTCTTGTTTACAGCTGTTAAGAAGGTGTACGTATCAGGTTACTTCCAGGCTTTCCTCCTGTCTTACAACAACGCTGCTCACATGCCAATTGATTTCCCTCTTGGGAAACCATTCTGCTTGCTTTTCCCGGAACTTCATCGCTATGAACTTCATTGTCCAGTCAACTATTATAAATGCTTCATCTCCCTTCAAAGTATCGACAATTTGCCGCTCGTACTGATCCTGGTTTCTGCTCTCAACATATGCCCTCTCCATTCAAAGATCTTAGCGGCAGCATTTTTTGCTTCATACAGATAGTCTTCCGCTTGAAACCTACCCAATTGCATTGTGTACTCAGAAATAGCGCCTATTACTTCTTCAAGAACACTCTTAAGCTTCTCACAATCCTCACACTTCACGTCGTGACTGTGACTGCATACTTTCTGAACGTCAGTGTCACCAGCATGGCTCAGTGCAAAGACCCTACAGTGATCGGCACATTTGCTATCGTCCTCTTCGCAGCGATTACGGTATGTAGTCTTCAAATACAACTTGCTCTCCTGAAGCCTCTTCCGAACTTCTTTACACTGGTCCTTTTCTGCTCCCACGCTTTCCAATTCGTCTATAATTTAGAGAAAATCCTTGAAACCATCCGCTCCCTCAGCTGCAGTATTGTCTAAACCTCTATAGAACGCTATACATTAGAAATGGCCTTTGACATTTGCAAATTGAATTTAACTGAGTCTTCTACATCGAACAGGCCAGCCCTTGCAAAGATAAGTTCTCCTTCTGTGAAACTCCCTTTTGACAAATGGATTAAGCAGAGATGACTCTTTATTGAGTCAGTACTCTGAGGCAAGTTAAACAAACCGGAAACTCCTCTAAAGTCTCAGAACGAAGTTTCTGAGGAACGCGACTGAAAACAGGACTTCTTGTGGCGAATACCGCTTCAAGAATTTAGTGTTATTAATCCCAAGCAAACCAGTACCGGAAGAGACATATGAATTACAGCTAATAAAATTACGCGCTTTACAATATAGATATAGTTAATTGTTGGAAAAATGAGGTGACACGTAACGTAATAATTTATTTCCTCAAAAATCGCGGGGTCCTTTTCCCCAAGAACTCCCTAGAGTTCTACATAGAAACTTTCATAAAGACAGGTGTGCAGACAAAATTTCTCTTATTCCTGCCGACCAGAATTCTGATCCAAAAGGCGATGTTATCGCTGCTTTATTACGAAGGGAGAAGCAATTCAGGATATTTCTGAGACAATTGAATTATGTGACAGTGGTCACGGTGCATTTCAGTGTGTGCTGTTATCGCCGGTTACACTAAATAGAATCCTGTAGTTTGGTTTTTAAATGTTCATACAGGTTTGAATAGCGTAAGCTGTCAGAACTCAGATATGAAAAAACAGAAGCCAAATTTTAAAAAAGGAGTTTGCGAGCGTTAATCAAATTATAATATTCGATACGTTGTTGTTGACGTCTTTCGTCACGAGATAATAACATTTGTCAAAATTTTGGCCTTTTAAAATGTTTAAGGTATTAATCGGTGTGGTCTTAAAGCTCTGTCTACTATATTTTCTATTATATTTTCTACTTAAAATGGTTAAAATCTAAGATTTATTGAGCTACTTATATAAAACGGTCGGAGTTTGCTCAATGAACTAATTTGCATAATCGGCTGTCACGCTAGCAATATCGCTAAAAGTTCGAAGTCACCTCGGCGAAGAAAATCAATAAGTGCAAGATGTTTTTATATTTTTCTGCAGCCAAACATCTTATTGGCAGAAATCAAGCGGATTTTTTAACGGTCTGGTCTGGACTTGAGCAATATCAACCAAGAAAGAAAGAGTACTTTTACCAATTTCAGAAAGCTGTCCAACGAGTGTTTTTAAATAAACTATGATGAGCCTCTGAATAAACGAATATCAAAATTGAAATGTATTTTATACACCTTATATATCACACACTTTAATAATACAAAATATTTTTTGCTGCATGCGGTGTGGTACGAGGACCGGGCTATTCAACTTATGAAATTTTCGATGTCGCAAGAGGTCAAAAAAGGGCTTTTTACAGCTTTGACTTTTGAGAGCTCTAAAAATTTTATTTTAACGTATTTCCAGAAACTAATGTGGTTTTATTTACTTGTTACCAAAGATAGTTTATTGAGCAAAGTTTGAGGGAAAACTTTTTTCCGATGCGAAATGCCCTGGACCGCTCTTACAGAGATCACCTCTTAACTAATAAGAGTGACTAGCATCAAATTTCTCCTTACAATATCACCCCCGAATCACACATTAAGGTCATGAGAATAAAGGAAATGATCACCCACAAAAGAAGCTTTTGATCGGTGAACAAATTCTCCTGGTCAGCACCTTAGGAAATGTACAGAGAAAGTATGAGGAATGTGCACACTGATGTTAGCTTGTAAAGGGTTAACAGCTGTAAATAAATTACCTTATTTCTGCTTGGCTTAGTTGGTTCGTAGTTACAGGAAGCACTTCTAAGAGATCTCATTTTAGTTTTGTGGCATGGGGTGATTATTGATGGTTAAAGGACTAAAAGGAGTCCAATTCGGTCTGTAATTATACGAGTGATTATCAAAATCGGACGACCGCGAAGCGGGAGTCAGATTTGTTAATCACGAATATTATTTCAAACGGAATCGGACGACTCGAATTCCTGTTACCAGGTAATAAAAATACGACAAAATTTGAGAAAGAAACTAGACATCGCTTGTATTTAACTGTCGATCACTATTTCTCTGGTCTGTCGAAGCTCTTAGAAAACCAGTCACAAAATCAAATGTGGCAAAATCAATCAAATGTGAAAATTTGCTTTTACTAATGATTGGAGAACCCAGCAGATCAAAGAAACATTAAATGCTAAATGACAGTGACATTGACATGGTCATTAGATCGAAAATACAAAGATCTCTCTCTATCAACCAGCTGAAGCAAATTATTTTGGTTTACCCGCAATAGCGTTGTACTTTAATAAGACACGATACTTTGTCTCTTGCCTTAATTGCAAATGTTATAGTGGTCACCTTAGCACTTGCATCTCACCCCACATTTCAAGTTCTATATTGCATCTATGCTGCTTACCACAGCACCAAGGTTGACGATGATCTTTAAACATACGTGCTTTAGTCAGAGTTTCACTCAGTTTGACTACTTTTTATTTCAAAAATGCACTAATCGTACATTATTTTGTTTTCCCTTCAAGGTAGGGTGTTGAAGTGGTGTTAGCATAACTTACCTGAGGCATGGAACAAATTTTGTTCCACCTGTGCCAAACTAAAAGTAATCCAGGGTGCTTTGTTTTCAGATCAATGCTCTTAAACGCCAACATCGTGACTCTATGGTTGACCTGCTGAAAAGGCAGCTGAATGAACAGTTGGAGCTCGCCGAAAAGCAACTTCTTCCTGTAAGGCTGAGTTCAAGCACATTCAAGTTATTAAACCTTGACATCCTAATGTTTGTGTGCACATTCTCTTTAGTGTCCTCTTTACATTTGCTGAGGTGCTATAAAGAGACTTTGTTTAACAATCAGGAGCTTTTTTTATTTGGTGATCATTTTTCCTATTCTTTTGGCCTTATTGTGTGATTCAGGGGTGAAATTGTATAGAGAAATTAGATGCTAGAAATTCTTAGCGAGTCAAAGGGTTACGGATCGTTCGTAAATTACTCATTCGTACATTTTCTGTTTGTCTCTTGCACATCAAATCACCATGCATTAGAAAATATAATTTATCATGTTCCACTCGTCCTAGTTCTGTGTATTTTAGCATCTTAAAGTGTTTTTACCCATTTTTTGTTCTCTATATTTTTGTCTTCTGTCACTTTTGAAATGTTTCTTTTTTCGTGCCTTTTTCACGTAGAAACAAGAGGAACTGGAGAAGCTGATGCGACTTTCACAGGAGGAGAAGACGAAATCATTGGCTGATTTACACGCTAAGTAAGAGAGGATCCATCCTCTGATTCCCAAGGATTCCAAACTTAAAAATGGTAGAAAAACCCCAAATTTAATGATATAGAATGGTGTGTTTAAAAACGTATTTTACCAAGGGCACCTTATAGGATTTTGTTCCAAAACTCAAACCTCAGGAAGGCGATTGTCTTCCACTTGATACTTGTGATTAAAGGATGAAACAGGATGGCTATGGTTATTTGATGGTTCTGCCTCGTCTAGCAATTTTGTTGCAAGACGGTTACGCTATGATCGTAGTGTGTGCCTGTGTTTGTGATTATTGCTGAATTATTCATTGTTTTCAGGCAAATGAATGAATTAAGAAAGAGCGAGGACAATCAGAACAGAGAAGAACTTAAAGTGTTGGCGCGACAACATTCTAACAAAGATGAACTGCAAAGGTTTGCCATGTTTTTCTTGTTAATGTATCCTTGATAACAACCCTATGGCAACAGAAACGACAAAGGAGTATTCACACTGTCATGTCTTACCTCAGGTTTTTTTATGCTTGACATGACTTGTACCGTTTATTTCATTCAATCCATGGGTCTATTTCAATTTTTATGAACTTTGAATAAAATTATCAATTCATCTCAGTTTGACTGATGCTTTGACTACCAGTCTGTTCGCTGTGTTCTTCACATTTGCGTCTTTTGGATTTCATCAACCCTTTGACTTTTTATTTCTCCTCTCTAGCTGCTACATATTTCCTCTTAAATCAGTTATAGGAATTTGGTGTTAGATCAAGATAACTTCTACCAGATAAGTTTGAGTATTCTTGTTTCCTGTTTGCCGGATAATGAGTGGATATTATAGGAAGAAGTTGCGTGTTTTGATATCACTTACGGGATTTTAGAGGTTAATCAGTTGCGGAGGCAAAACAGTTGCAGCATCGCATTCTATTTTTTTGTAATTAACAAAAAAAGTTATCAGTCAATAGATATAACTTTATTTTGATAGTGGCTGCCATCGTAACTATCTGATGAATGAACTACAATACTCATTTCATTACCACACAAATTTTGTTTTGAATACCCACCGACGAAATACAATTTACTTTCACTGAACACGCTCAGTCTGCTAACTAACATATCTTTTGTTCAGTTCGAGCGAGGACAGAGCGATAGCCGGGAAAATGTCAGTCCGTTCTCTGAAAAATTTCAGAATACTACGTCTACTGTGATGTCGTTCATCGTGTCGAAGATCTTTATGAACGCTGTATTCAATGAATTATTATAGTAAAAGGATCCTGGTGTGTCTATGGAGTCCACCAAGGCTTTCGCGGCCTCTTCGTCCGTGTTTCCGGTTTTCTTTGGCAAGGTTTTCCCAGCAGCCTTGACGGAGGTCGGACAAATCGTTCCCGGCATTCCAAGGTAGTAGTACGTCTCGCGTGGTTTGAATTTATCGTGCAGACGCTTGATACGAATCCGCTGACCTCCTGCAATTCCTGGTTTTCGAAAAAGAAAGAGTTAAATAATGATTGAAAAAGAAAAAGATAAAAAGTTCTGTCGACGCTTCCTTTCACCTTTTAAAACCTTGTTCATTTGGTTGCCCCAGTGTAACACAGCCGTCCGAACGTCGTGCATGCACGAGAGGATCAATTTTAGACGGCCGCTCGCCACTTTTCCGCGTAAAATTAAAAAAAAAAACACAAGAAACAACACTGTCTCACAAGATAGGCGAAAGAAGATTGAAACTTTCAGAGGAATTTTGTTAAAGGAAAGTAAAGGAAGGGAGAACTCGAAAGTTTTCGAACATAAAGCTTATTCAAGTACGGGTATCCTGTTGATTTGCTATTCTGTGTTGAGCTTTGGCAATACAAAGTTATACTCTTTTATAACATCGTGAATTACTGGCTTGTGGAGTTGTTCATAACTCGTGCGAGACAACTTGATTCTGACAGCCTGAATGCGTGCCTCCGACATTACAACGTTCGCACAGTATGCTCTCGCTTGACCACTGAATTTTTAGCGCAGGCAACGTCATACCCTAAGAGAGTTGTTGTTTAGGCAATACGACCCAATCATATGACGTTTTACATGCGGCCTTACCTTGATGACTGATTTCAGTCAGTCTATACTCGCCAGCGGTCTCTGCCTTGTTACTCACACCGTCATCGTCCAGATACAACTTGTAACTGCTGTCTCGGCCAGGATAGATACTAAACGTGATGGGATTCACCTTGCCGTGACGATACAGCTCACCAATGTACTGCTCAACCTCACGCTTGGGTATAATGGCGCCTTCTCGGATGTAAATGGCACAGTTATCTTTGTCAGGGTCGTCCCAAGGGGCGTAGAAATCGAACTCCACCCCACCATTGACGGGATCCTCCAGTGGATACTTGTCATCTGTAAAACGGTACCACTGACCCCCAGCGGGGAGGTAGACAGCACGGCTCGTTTGACCTTTTGATACAATAACAATTGAGAACGGCTTTTCCTCTCACTGGTGTACAGTTGCTATGTGCTAAGATGCGTTGTCTTAGAAAAGTACTCGGAGGGTTCTCTAAAAGTGCAGAGCATTTTGGGAAAGTACTGACCATTTTTTGGGGGGGAATTTTACCATTTTTGCAACAAGGTTATGGCAAGGGTTTCTGTGTGAGGCCTGAGTACCAGATAAGGTCTACAGCGTGGAACATAAAAATGGCCTTTTAAAAAATAAACAAACCTGGATTGACAATGGGTGCCACCATCATGTCTTTACCCAAGAAGAACTGATCATCCAATCGGTTGGCCGTGTAACCGTTATATCCCCACTCATGGGGGTCATCTGCGCGCGCATCGTTATAGAATTCTCCCGGTTTGTACTCATCCATCAACAGGGGCCGGCAGATTGGTTTACCTGTCTGCGTGTTCTCATACATGGCATCGTAGATGTACTGAATAAGTTTGTACCTCAACTCAATGTACTTTCGACAGATTGTGGGAACTGGTTCTTCATAGCGGTATGGCTCTTGGTATGGCTTGTAGTAGTTATCATAGTGGTTTCGAAACCACGGAAGAAACGCTCCCATTATGGTCCAGCGCGCCAGCATCTCGGAATCCACAATCTGGCCTTGCCATGCTGCACAGAAGCCCCCAATGTCACTGCCGGAGACCGGCTGCGCAGATAGGCCGATGCCAAGCACCAATGGGATGTTCATCTGTATGAATTCCCAGTTTGATGTACTATCCCCAGTCCACAGACCAGCATAGCGATGGACGCCGACAAAGCCACCACGAGCGATGATGAAGTGGCGTTTGGTTGGTCGGAGACGCTGCAGCCCCTGGTAAGTGGCTTTGCAGAGATTGTAATTGTACAGACAGCGGATTTTGGCGAATGGTTTCTTGTCATGATGGGTGCTTACTTTGGAGTACCTTGGAGAGGAAAAAAACCGTAATCAGGTATTAACGTACAATAGCATTGGACCTATGCAGACAAATAAAGAAACAAGTACTCCAAGTAAACAGAAATAACTCGTAAATCCCTGCTTTTAGTTGCCTACTATCAAAGCCCAGCGAAGAATTTTAGCTTAAGGCAAACCATACAAGTTCAGCGCATGGCGGTTTAGCCCCACTGCTGTCACAACACCGACCTTGACAAAAAAAATCCTTGAATGTAGCGGACTGATTTCTTTTGCCAAGATCTTTCCTTTCCTTACGGCTGTAAGTGACCTGGTTACCAGACTAATAACAAACCTGGTTTCCTCGTTGTCACTGATCATTATATCCATAGGAAATGACAGCAAGGGACAGTCAGGCTGATGAACACTCGCTTTCATGGCTGGAGTGGTCATGTCTTGCCACACGAAGTCCACTCCCCAGTCTAACAGATCACGGTACTGCTCGCCCCACCATTTCTGTGCATCCAGCCGTCCCAGATCAGGGTAGTGTCCCCAGGTCAGATGACCGCGCCCATAGTTCACGTTACCAATGTATTCATCATGAGTGCCACTGCCATCTTCCCGTGTGTTCATCACAAAGATGCCGCTGGCTTTTCCAGTGTCCAGGGCTTTGTACGGACTGTACTCGCCATTTTCATCTGTGTTGCAGCTCACGATGGGTGTGATGTTTGTGCTGCATTTGTACCCCCAATCGTGCAAGGCATCAAACATCTCTTTAGGATCAGGAAACTTCTTTTTGCTGTGCGTGAAAGTGCGGTAGTTGTCCTGCAAATCCACATCCACATGGAGCCCGTCAATTGGAATCTTCCACTGACGGTACTTGAGCGCCACTTCCAGTAGCTTCCACTTGGTGTTGTAGTTGGGGCCATACCCTCCTTGGTGGTAGCCAAATACGTACTTTGGCTTCGACTGAGTGCGCCCGGTCAGCTGGGTGAACTCGTTCAGTACTTCAGCCACATGCTTACCAGCAAAGAAGTAGTAATCAAGCTCCCCGTGCAATGCTCCGAAGTAGTACTGATCTCCCTGGCGAAAATTCACAAATGTCTGCGAAGTATTATCGATCAGGATTCCGTTGGCGTACGAAGGACCAGCGAACGCTCCGGTGGGTTCTGGATTGTGCTCAATGAAGAACGGTGAAGACTGATATAATGGAGAATTAGGATTAAATGGCCCCTGTACCTCACCATCGGGTGTTAGATCTGGTGCAGTGTAACCGAAGTTGTCATAGTTGAAAAATGTCATGGCAGCTCCGATCTTCTCGTTTTCCCCTGCGTATTGGCCATAGAAATGCTGTTTGGGAACACGTCTCTTGTCAAGCGTTGCACCTGCCTTCTCTCCAAATCCGAAATACTGAGCATTGGTCGGCGCTATCTTGAATTGAGCGGTAGCCTCACCACCGTCATCACGCTTCACATAGACTAGGTTGTAGTCACTCGGATCGCCGTGAATTAACTGGCCACCGCGGTACACGGACAGGGCGTATTTCTTCAAATTGACATGGATCTCGATCTTGTCAGTGCCAATCTTTAGAAATCCACCTTGTTCCTTGACTTTGATGTCGGAGGCCTCGATCCTTTCCACCTCAGTGGCTGGAGAGCGAGTCTTCACATACGGAGCTTTGGGGTCAGGGTTGAACCGCACCCGAAACATGGCGTGGGAAAGGAAATAAATGTAAACTTTAAGATCACCTTCAAGGAAGAGGGTGAATTTATCTACCACTCCTTCTTCTTCTTGAATCCACTTCGTTACTCTGCCCAAATGAATCCAGTTCATCCGAGACTCTGGAGTAAACTCGTCCGGAGGAACGTAACGGTAATTTGCCATCTTCGAAGCAGAAATAAGTTGTGGTTGATCTGCAAAAAAAGGGAGTCAAGTACTTTGTTTTGAGCAAGTATTATCGTTAGTTTTGTTAAAATGATCATTATAATAATTTTCAATTTCCGGGAATTCGAAAAGCTGACATCTGAAGAGCTCAGCGATGTAGTCACCAAGGAAGTTTCATTAACCTTTTAATTCCCAGAAGTGATTAACATGTAACTTCTCCCTATGATATTCATACATTATCCAGCAAACAAGTAATGAGAATATTCAAACGTGTCAGGTTTAAGTTGTTATCTTGGTTTAACACCAAATTCTCGTAACTAATTTATAGGAAAATGTGAAGCAGCTAGAGGGGAGAATTAACAATCAGATCGTGAGTGTTAAAGATTAACGAGAAATAAAAAACGCTCAGATTCGACAGATTTGTGATTCGGGGCAGAATCTGTCTTTGCTTTGTGAGGTTGATTAATGACCACTATTGCATAATTTTCTAAGACAATATAAGAAGGACTTGATCGAGTGTTCTGTGGTTTACCTTCAGATATCCTGTGGTTGTTCAATTATCTAGCTACTTCAGAACAAGCAAAGGATTTGGTCTGTGTTCGTGCTCAGATCGACAAATAACTACCTTTCCTTCATTGATTGTTTCAACAAAGCACAAACATAGAATTTCGACCTCTTTTTAAAGAGAGAGTCACGTTCCGATTCAATCAATTTGCTATCAATGATAACAAATACAATTTTTTTGCAGTCAGTTATTAGGTACTGATTGTTAATAACGAATGTCTGTAGACTGTTTCAAAAAAGAACACTAATGCATCCTGTTTTCACTGCATATTTCAACCGAATTTACGTTCTCCACAAAAAGAAACGATTGTTCGTGTTCGGTCATTAATTATTCCGAGCCTGAAGTTGCATGTTCTTCACTAACACTGCATGCAAATGTGCAGCTACGAATACAGAGCTAATGTGTGGCAGAGCAGCTTTAATTTCATGAGCGGTTTCTGTTCTGGAGTCTTTCCAGGGGATGTAGTTTTTGGCCGAAAATGTACCAACTAATTCCTTTAGACGATAGACGGATGACTTACCTCTATTAAACCTGATCCTCAGAGTAGATGCACTTGAATAAGTGGAAAGCCGAGAGGGAGTGTCATTGTTAAACAACTATTTGTACGAAACTGACCAATCGTACTAACGGGAACGAGTAACAAATTCCGCTTAAGCTATTTCCTATCACGCGATTGGTTCATTTTGAGTGGGTGACCAAAGCAACGTAAGTAGCATTTGAAGAACTGTTCATCCTTTGTTCACAACAAACAGCGGTCTGATAGATCATGAGGGATGCACGAATTTCACACGTCGAATTTTAATGCTTTTTCGTGCTTTGGTTCTGAAAAATGTGAAATGTTGGATGTCAGTTATCAGACATAGTTGTGTTTGTTTTTTTTCTTTTCGTTAAGCTAGTGATCCCAGAACAATTGACACTGACGTAAACGTGTGGTAACACTTTTTTTTTCTCTCAAGACTCTTGAAAAACGAATTAATTGCTTAATAGCTCCGTGAGCAGCCTTATAGTCCTGCGAAAACGGAATTTTTAGCAAAGTAATAAATCATCTCTAAAACGAGCCCGTTGGGACATAAATAGATAGTTCAGCTTCAATATATCTTTTCCTATGCTTTTCAAAATACAATACATGCAGTGGACCTAAACAGTTCGAAGTCTCGTGAATTACGTCAAAAGTTTGATGCGGTTATTACGCTTTAGCATTTGATCGTAATTTTTCGAATCAAGCGAAATCTTCCACAAGTCTTGCAATTTTACTTTAAGCTTAACTGCCCAAAATTCCTCATACTGTCTCAGTGTTGAACTTTGCATTGTGTATAATGTGGTCGTGCACAACTGATGGAAGCAGTTGAACGGTTTAATTCGCTTCTTCACTGGCGCTCCTCCTACAAGTTTGTGTTGTGACTGTCTAACTTATCTAGCTCAAAGACTTAAAAATATGGAAACTGCCTCATTTATGTCGAATCTTCCTTTATTTACTCTTGTCAGGCCAAGGTAGATGGTTAGAAATTTAACAAAAATTAAGATGCAAGGTCACGAACGAGGCTCGGCTTCTTTTGAAGTCTCGCTTGAGAAGTAAACTTGAACGAATGATATTGTTACGAGCCTTTTTTTTTTTTTTCAAAATAGTCGAGACTACTGCTGGATATTTTAGGCTACCCATGCAAATTTGCATAACACTCACACCTAATTATTATTTCCACTTCACTTCGCCAGCCGCTTTCTTTCAAGAAAGGACGCAATTACCAAAAGCCTTCTGACGTTATTACGAAAAATTACATACAAGTAGAAAACGAATTTGCAATTTTTCAAAGTTTCTCTAGTCCAAGTGACTGACTGAGGTAAAAGATTACGAATTCTTTGCTGAATTATTGGTTACCCGGGCAAATTTGCATGACATTTACCTCTAATCATTGCTTTTACTTCACAAGGGCTTAACTTTCTTTCAAGAAAGGACTCCATTACCAAAAGCCTTTTAAATTACGAAAAAATGGTGTACAAGTCAAAAACGGATTTGAAATTTTCCAAGTTCCTCAAGTCTAAGTGGCTTACTGATGTGAAAGATTACGAACTGAAGAAAAGAACCATTGTGGTCAACATTTCCAACACAGATGCAACTGTCTCGGGGCCGGAACCTCGCAAAGTTTTGCAGCCGAGAAAATCCACAATTTTGGAAGGTAATACCACAAGTTTTCTTGGATTTATTCGAGGTAGCATACACGAGAAGCACTAGCTATTTTTCGCCTTTTCCAAAAGAATTTTCATTGTTTCATTATACCCTTTGAAAACGTTTCATCTGAATACAGGGAACCGCCCCTTGTTTCCATTTGTCGTGATGTCAGCCTCGCAATTTCATCGCTGTTTTGGTCCTTTTCATGATACTTTGGTTAAAAGGTTTCTTTTGAATTATTGCCGAAAAAAATGGGCTCTATAGAATAAAGCGTTTCAGGAAAATGTCTGAGCTTATAAATTTATTTCGGGCGGACTGAAGATCGCAAAAGCGTTCGAACGTCTGCGAGTTCATTCAGTTGTGCAAGAAAATGAACGTACATGCTACCAGTTATCGCCATAGATTATACGTTTACATTATGTTATAAATGCTACACATCTCAGTTTGAATTGAAAAGTCGTGCAGAAAGAGCTAAAACTGCTCAACTGTGACAAGAGCCTTAAAGAAAGGTGTCAGAACGCAAGAACGACACGACATCTGGAAATACATTCTAAATACATTCTGATAATTAAAATTATCAGGTTATCTTTAGCATGAACGTGGAAACGAACGTTCACCTTTAAAAAGAGTAGTTTTATCTCTTAAACTTTTATTTTTCTTGCATTCCGTGCAAGCAATTTTTTATGAACAGATTTATCCCTAAGTTACCAGATTAGCCTTGTTTAAGTGTTGTTCCAGTCGATCAATCAAGTCCAAATGCCTATTTGAAGGACTTTTTGATCTTGCTTTATGTAAATACATACATACATACATACATACATACATACAAACAAAGATAAAAGCATACATCCTTTATTTGGTAAAGCTGGTTGGTAGAAGATGGCAGCGAATGCTGATGTGAATCTGCTCTAATTACTATATAAAACTAAGTGAGTAAAAAGAAATAGGAAAGAATACTGAAAAAATTATATATATATATATATATTTTTTTTTTTTTTTTTTTTATTTTTTACATAAGTTAAAGAATTAAAGAGGACGCATCGATTCTCTGTGACTCTGAGATTCGCGCCTAAGCGCTCGTCAGACAGAACTTTCTGTCTGACGAGCGCTTAGGCGCGAAACTCAGAGTCACAGAGAATCGATGCGTCCTCTTTAATTCTTTCACTTAAATATCCTCAGCTCTGTTACCACAGCATTGAGCACTTTATGCCAAGGTAGACTCTACCCCCATATTTATATATATATATTTCACAGCAATGAAAAGTGCAAGCCAGTAATTTGTTATAAAATGAGATAAAGAGCTCCATTTTGTCTTGTGCAGTACTCAGGTTGTCCATCAGTCTCTCAGCACAGATGTGATAGTCCTCAAGTTCAGAGGGCAAATGTAATGATTGCCAAAGAGAAATGTAATAGATACTACTAAGTAAAATAGCTTTGAAGTAGATAGATCCCAGAGTTGATCAGTCGCAGGTATTTCACACATCAATCTTTTGCGTAGGTGTGAAAGTTATTAGTGCCGAGTCCCTCGTGCTCATCGAGGTCCCAGACGATATCAACATCGGTGGCTGTGTTCTGGAAGACGGCTGGTGTCAGCTGACAGCACAGGACCCAACTTACCCGAAGGATGTTCCGTTGTACAAGTCCCCACAGTTTGATGTTGGGTCCGTTGAATTTGATCCATACTCGGCAACCGGGACCATAAAGACAGGCTCAACTGGTAACACTGTGAAAAAGTTTGACATTAAAGTGAATGTGTGGTTCTGCCCGGCTAAAACCAACTGCGGAATTCACAACGTACACACTGACCCAGAAATGCTAGAGGTATTTACAAATAGTGGATTTCTTTCCCTCTCCACTCCCCCCTTTCCCCCCCCCCCTCCACCCCATTCTTATTACTGGGCGTGGCTGATTTTGAATACTCCCTCATTGAATGCAACTTAATCTTATTAAAAATGACAAGAATCACTTACTGAAGTCTCTTTAAGGCATTTCAAGTAAGTGTTCCAATAGCAGGCATAGCAGATGTGGATAGTTCAGAGAATATAAAAAATTAATTAGTTTCTTATAAGGTAAACTCTTACTTACTTGAACAAATTCTCAGCGCACAGAAGTACATAAGATAAGTAAACGATTGTATTTGCGTTTTTAGGTCCACACCCAGATATATGGCACAGGTAGAATGCAGAAATTCCGCTCTAATGACTTCAAAAGCATTTATGAAGATGTGCATATGGCACCTGGATTTACCCATAATCCTTTTGCTGGCGTCAAGGACAACGGCGATATCTTCTACGGTTGGCACCAGTACTACTCTGATACCGATTGCATCTGGATGGCCATCGAATACCATCCGGCATGATTCGCTTCATACTCGGCAATCTTCGGCTAATATCGGGCGGGTTGATGACAATGTTTATAATCAATGTATTATTGATGTTTGAATGTGATTAAAAATTCTTGACAATCGGGTGAAAAAGTACTCGCTTTAAAATGTTTGATATGTAAGTTTTGTTTTTCATTAAAGTTGTTTTCGACAAGAATATCATTTTGAAGAGACACTTCTAGGCGATGAAAAGCACGAAGCCATTTACTTCTGAATTTTGACCGGGAGGGGGGGAAAGAAATGGGGTTGTGTCAAAAAAAAAAACAAAAAGACTATGTAATATTTCTACGACCCCCCCGTCCCCCACTGGCCGTGAATTGGCGGTCAACTTTCTGTGGTCCCCTCCCTTATACTTTGTTAGGGAGAACTGATCTCCCTTCTGTCCCCCTGAAAACCATGTAATCTCCCCAAAATTTTCCGGCCCCCCTTCCCTCCTCCCTCACACCCCGATAAACAATGACAGGTCCCTTACACATCTCCTAGCCCGGTGTACACAATATTTACTTTAAATAAAAAGTGTTTAAAAAATTTCGTTTGTTTTTTTCCTCATTCCTTTCCAAACACTCCCAGAGGTACTCGCTGGCGGGCAAATAAGCCTGATGGATATTTGTTACAGACGTTATAATGATATAAGTGTCTTTATAACACTTTATAACACGGAAAGTAACAAAGTGATTCGTCGGCAATTTTAACGTCTTTACGGCTGATGGAGAAATTTAGAAAGGTCAAATCAACTTTTAGGGTAATATTTTTTTAACTTTGAAATGATTACAACGATATTTCCCCCTCTATTGAAGTTAATTACATTTAAAATCAGCTTAAAGCTGTACAACCGATGCTTTCGGTCCTCAGAGGTAATTTAAAATTCAAATACCTTTTTTTTGCAATGAATATTTATATTTGCAACCATTCTTGCACGTGGAAAGAGCTTTTGAACTACAAGAATTTTCTGCGTCGTTTCCCGCTACTCTGAGGCCAGAAAATACGGCATTTCAACATCTTAAGTTTGGATATGAACTGTCGTGTCAACGTCGTGTATTTCTCGGAGCGTGCTGACTCGTATGGCTAAAATTCGACATTGACAATTCGAAAGATGGACATCAGTCAGTTTTGACTTATATCAAGGTAATTAACCGACCAATGACACATATTTTTGTAAACACAGTATCGCTGTTTCACGTTGGTGCTTGAACAGAATCAACTACAAGGGTCGAGTCAGTTATAAAGGAGTGGAAAGGAGTTTTGCACACAGTATAGTGTAGCACAAAATCCCTCTGGGAAGCTGCCTTGAGAGTTGTTGATGAATGACTAGCCTTTAGGGGCAGAAGGGAGAAGTTCGTTTCTGTTGCTGCGTGGCAAACATCTTGATCCGTTTCTCTCTTTACGTTTCAATAATAATTTAATTCTATTCATGTATTTATGTTTTTACTTTCCGTGTAATCTGTCTTTGTTCCTCCAGTGAACAAAGATCGTTAAAATCAAATATGTATGCTCAAAATGTTCTTCATCTAGATTTGTCCTTTTCTTTCTCTAAGACTGCTTCAAGCACGGGCTGAGGACATCGTGAAATCAAGAATGCAATGGAAGAGAAAAAGAAGGACAACCGTCGATAAGGTTGGTTATTACGTTTTGTAACTAATCAACTAATATCCCATTCACACCAGCAAAAAACGTGTATAGTTAAACCAAGTTTAACTGAATGAAAATCAGGAACAGTGAACTTAAAAAATTGAATTTCAATGCACGGATTTAAATAGTATAACAAAACAACTTTAAAACGTGTGTTACGGGAAAATTTACTGATTTTTCCGTGTGGTTGTTATTCGGAACACATTTATTCGTAAACTTTCATATTTAACCATTTCAAGTCCTTTCATTTTAGTAAATCAAAAAATTGTATAAAAACCACAGTAGCTTTAAGAATAGATTTTGCTTTTCACTCGCTTTCACCTGCATGTCGACACTTTTGTTATTTATTACATGGTTTTTTTAGGTAAATATAAGTGTTAATGGTCTTCCTGGAAAAATTGGTTTTCATGGTAGTTAGCAGCTGAGTTTATACTCGTAACGTTAATTTCTTTTCATACGATAGTTTCCACACCAACTTTGCCTAGATAAGCAGAGACTTTAAATTGCTTTTCCGTTTTTCTTTCCTAAGCTGCTCTGTTGCAATTAAGATAAGTATTATTTTCTATACCAGAGCTGTGAATTCACACCTAAGTTTCCTATTTTTAATGGCCTCGAGTTTATTGCATCCGTCATTTTAATTTTGAAATTCTTTCCGTCGTAGAAACAGATGGAATATCTAGATAGTTTTCGTTTAACTTCAAAGAGACTTTTTCCGCTCCTTTGTGTCCTTATTCAAATATTGCGATTTGTGTAGCAGTAACACCTCACACCAGTTTGTTCTTAAGCAAGTACCTTGTACAGCTTTGATGATTACAAAGTTGAGTACGCTAGAGGTCATGTCGCTTGTTGACCTGACCTAGAATAAAAGTCTACTGTGGAACCAAAAACAGTGTCTCTTCCTCGACGTCCGTACAAGCTCACTCGAAGTAGATCTCCGTGTGCCAGGAAATCGTGACGAGTTTCCGTTCTCGCTAGCCGAGTGGTCTCTGCCGAGTTAATTCCCCCCGTTTGTACGTTTCCCGCGGAAGTCCAGTTGTAGTGCGCAAAACCCTATCGTCACTCGCGTTTTAGCTTTGTACCGTGATGAATAGGGTGTAAGATTGTTAGTCTGATCTGCAATAACCACCTGGACTTAAATTTAGCTAGGACGTGCTACATAAAATTAACCAAATTAAAATATGTCCTCTCTCTTTGATTAGGCTGTTTTTTCAGTAGTTTACAACACCGATGATTTAATGGATTGTTACAATTAAACTGCTTGCGTCAAGGAAAAATCACTGCTGTCAAATACTTTTCTATTTCTTATCGAGCATGTCGTAGCCATCTGTCTGACTTGTCAAGTTACCATAGCAACGGTATAATCTGTGAAGTACTCCTTTAAAAGCAGAACTAGCTAAGAATTCCCATTTCTTGCGGATTCTTTTACCACAAAATGAGTATATTGCATGGTTCTTAGTTTCTGAGGATGAAACTTTATATTTCTTGTATTTTCTCTAAAAATATCTCTGGATATCTGATGAGTTTAATGCTCTAGTGTCAGTCTGAAGATACATATTTTTGATTCAATAAAAGCCTTGTGGCCGAATTATCAAATCTCTTTTGCTCTTGGGGCTGGAAACAAATTTAGCTTTAAAAAAAGTTGTATTTCTCTGATTTAAATCAAAACTCTTGATAAATCTCTGATAAGTATTATGGTCTGGTATCTTCTTTTAAGCAAATTTTTAGTTTTTTACAAAAAAATTGGAGCCCAAAGATCAAATGTCTGCTCTTTAAAGTGAAATCAAATTCAATATGCTGCAAAATTTTCATAACTCAATTTTCTTTCAAGAATTCTGATATTTTTGAAAGTCTAACAATTTCGTTGGATTATTACTTCTGATGCACAAAAAAGGCCTTATTATTGATAAATATCTTGTCTCTTGATGATGCGCTCCAAAAAACTGTTTTTTTTCTAACGTTTTCATTTGATTTTTTGCTCATCTCCGATAAAGTTAATGACATGAGAATTTTGAACCAGAGTTTCACACAAAATTCGAATGTTTTGCGGTTTGTTCGGTTATAAAGGATACAGTCCATTTCCAAATAACTTTGCCATTTATTTAGGTTGGAAAAAAAAAAGTATACTTCGAAAGGTGATTTTTTTTTCAAACGTTTGAATTTGATTTCGATATGTTTAATGTCTGATACTTTTCTTCAAGATTTTTAACAGCAAAATTCAATTAAATCTCAGAGCCTAACAGTGGCTAAGAGCCAAGTCACTGCGCTGATCGCTTTTTCATAATTTTTTTTTTGTTATTTGATAAAATGTCAGCTTACTTTCATTAATCAATGAAATCTTAGGACCTATTTTTTTAAGTGATCTGCTCTACAGCTCGTAAGGCTGAAACCAAATTGAAAGATCATGCTCCAATAAGAGATATTGCCCTAAAAATTGCATCCCGCATTCATCTCCAAAAGATTTTAAATTTCATTTGTTTCATTGAGTCCTTCAGCTGGCATGTTTTGCTTTACCAATGTCGGTCTAAAAAACTGGTTGGTTCTGCTTTATTTTGTTCTGTAATTGGTCCAGGATACTCGTGCAACTTTCTCAACCAATCAAATGCAAAACTGAAACCAATCACGACTTGGTCGCCCGCGTTTTCCCGCGCTTTAGACGGTTTGGTTGTTTTTACTTCTCATCAGCCCTTAAAGGAAATATATTCTAATTGAATGTTGTGATTATTTTGGTTTTGGTTTTATGACCCTCAATGAAGCGCTCTATTGTAGTTTCCTTTTACCTCAATCTAAGTTTGAACTGCCAATTCAAAGATGTATACTGAAAACGGATGGAATTCGTCAGAGCAGTAAATTATAGAGACCACTGCCGCCAATTAATACTTCTTGGCTCATACATGTCAAAGAACACCAAAGATTCAAAGAACTCTTTGCAAAAATAATCTCAAATGCACTTTGTCGCAGGAATGTTTAACAGCTGTCCGTGGTTAAAAAGCATCACTCAGGATTCTATTCATTTACATTTCCATTTAATTTTTTACCAAGTCGGGCGAACAGAAGCTTAAAAGCATGTTTAAATTTTTTAGCTTTTCTGGTTTTTCCTTTTAAAAATATGAAAAACGAAGTATTTTCTCGCGCAAAAGAATGATAAAGACGCATCAAAGGAGAGGAAAGATGATTTAGACTTATAGAAATTTTATTCATTTAATAATGCCAATCATTCAGTCATGATCTTAGAAGAATCGTTGGTGGGCACATGGTGAATTGTTTTATTTTGGCTTGACTAAAAAAATATTATTTGCAAGCTCAAAATTAAACAGTTTAGTTTAGACGCAAGAAGAACAAGAGCTAAGCTTTAATTTATGTTCATTTCGACAACAACAGCAATTGAAATACGACTTAAACAAAACCAACATCAAATTCATCCAATTTATTCAAGTATTTATTAGCCATCGAATCGAACTGATTTATCGATAAATCAAAGTTGCGTTTACATTTGTTACTTAAAACCTCAGGATTGAAATAATGATTTTCACTCGTTCAACCCGTTACGCCCTGACATTGGTGTTAATATTCTCCACACTATTCTATCTACATCTCCTAAGGTGCTGACAAAGAGAATTTGTTTGACAATCAGGAGCATCTTGAATTGGTGATCATTTCCTTTATTCTTATGACCTACACATTCATTTAAAGGCAGATACTGTGTGGAGAGATTAAAAGCCAGTAACTCTTAGTGGATAAAGGGTTAACATCGTCAAATGATTTTAAAATTAGTGTGTCTACACTTGACCGTATGGCAAAAAAAAGATAAATAAAAAAATTAAGATTTAGCAGGAGCTCATAATGGACTCCTGAATTTAGAGATTCCATACATTAATGAAGTAACTCATATTTTTAATACAGACTGACTGACTGGTGGATACCTTTGATAATACCTCAAGCAAGAATCAAACAAGAAAGTCTGTACTTCCAAGGAAAGACAATATTTCTTCAGAGGTACAAAGCAGGTTTAGTGCACTTCTCTCACCGTGATACGACAACTCTGAGCTAAGCCATTTTCCTAAATGAAGGACTTGACTGCCAAAAGGAAGCCAATGTCATTGCGCGTTTTTGCTTAACTGAGAGGAAAAGATTTAATGTAGGCGCTAATTGAAATTTTAAATTTCCCGCCAAAATTAGGAAAAAAAAATCAGGCGACGCTTAAATGAACGCATGCGCCAATTTTCCATATTGATTCTGTAAGTAACATCTACTCAAGTTTTCCTGCCCAAAATACGCATGCGCCAATTTGAAAAAAAATTAAGTGAATATTATTTTCAATAAAGTTGTGATATTTTTAACGTGTTTTCTACTTGTATTGTTACTAATAGTCAACAATTTTCTTGCGCAATCTTTTATTGTCTCTTGAAATACTAAAAGAAACCCAACTGTTTCATTTAGCAAACCATTTTATTTCTTGTAAATTCTCTCAAATTACAAGTATGTTAATTAAATAAGTGATTTTTAATTAAAAGGTGTCCAGGAAATTTTTCATATCAACACCAAGACTTTTGGCGGGAAAATTTGGTAAAATTTGCATAGAGTTTCCCCTAGCAACGTTTTCGCATAAATTTTTAACAAGGCATTGCATAAAATTTTCCGCCAAAAATCATTCAAACAGTATCTCGTGCGAAAAAAGTGTTAAACCAAACGCTAATTCCACTTTCGTCTCGTGAAAGATAAACTCTGGCAAATCAGATTTATTGAAATGGTTTGAGGGATTTGTTTGCTGACGTCACGAGCGTGCACAATAGGAATATGAAGCACGCTCGCGCAATTGAATTTGATTACACAAATTTACTAGCTACGTTACAATATGGATTAGTAACTCCAGCCTATGACTAGCTAGTACGTCACAGATTTTAACACAGAGTTTTGTTTGCACGCTCATCCAGCTTCTTAAGGATCAAGTGGAAAAAAAGGCTTTGTTTGTGATGAATTCGCACGTGTAAAGGAATGATTTCACAATTAACGCATTAAAGAAACTATTCTGAGACTAGGAAACTCCTGAGAAAACGAAACAGAAGTTAAAACATTCGCCAATGTGGTATTGTGGGTTTCCAGAAGCTGGAATTATCCAGTAAGACTTTGACAAAATTAGATATTGCTGCCGCCGCCCCTAAATTGTGGAACGATCATCCGGGCTCTATCAGAAACACCCAATCTTTAAACAAGTTTAAGAAGGCCATTAAGACTTTTTTACTTGCCTTAAAGCTTTTTAATTCTTTGTATCTAATTTCATATTTTGACATTTTCTTAGTGATCATTTTTATTTATTTATTTAATTTTTTTAAAATTTTTTTATTTTTTAATTTTTATTTATTATTTTTTATTTATTTATTTATTTTTAATTTTTAGTTTTTAGTATCTATGTAGGGGTTGAATTTTTAACATTTAATTGTAATGCGCAATTGAAAATTCTTATATTGATAATTGCGCAATATAAGTCTATAAATTATTATTTATTATATATCGCAGATTGCGATCAAAAATAAATAGAGAAAGATCTACCTATTTTTGCATCAATGTATGATTTAAAAATAAAAAAGACATATTAGTATAACAAGATAATTTGGTTTATCATCTGAATTTATAATGTAAATTGGCCACCGTAAAGAGTTTTTAAAGCTGACGTTTCGGGCGTTAGACCATCGTCGGAGCGAATAGAGGAATTAAGGGTTGTGTGTGGTTTATAGACAGAAAGATGAAGCTACGCTTTTGGTTGGAACGTAGTAACGTGACAAACACACCTATAAATTGGATCAATGAAGATTTAGAGCGCCGGTTTGAAAGAAAACTTTTTATTCAAGAGTTGTGCGGCTTTCCGAAATGCACAGATAATGGAAAGGCGGCAGACTGCCATGTTTGATATGATAAGGAAGTCTTAGTGTCTAGAGACAGGTTCGGGTGCGTTTTTTTTTTATCACTTTCTCGAGAAATGTTGTCGGTCGAAACGAATTCTACATCAAAACAACCAACAACTTTTGCCACAGACGAAGGGGAGGGTGGTCATTCTATGTCTCCTCGTGAAGAAATTACTAATATGAATTTTTTGTAAGCACTCAAATTCTATAGGGAAAATCCTCTGAGCACTCTTTGCCTGAGAGCAAAGATGCGAGTCTGTCCCTTCGAGAGAGGAGAAGCGATAAGAGGGTACGTGAGGATACGTGATACTACCTAAAAGAACATTTCAGAACTTTTCAGAACATTACTTCCACGGTAACGTCACTTAATATGTCATAAATCTTGATAAATGTTGTCTTCAGAAATTTGTTGTAGTAAAATGCCCCTGGTGCATCTCTGGAGTTCTCCAAGGCTTTTGCAGCTTCTTCATCTGTGTTTCTGGTTATCTCTTGCAAGACTTGACTATCAGCCGTAACGGAAGTTGGGCAGATCGTTCCCGGCATACCAAGGAAGTAGAACGTCTCACGTGGTTTGAATTTGTCGTGGAGACGCTTGATACGAATCCGCTGACCTCCGGGAATTCCTGGTGTTCAACAGGGAACAAATAATTTAAATTCTATTTTATTACATGAAAATTTTAGCAATGGAAAAGAGAAAAGTTAAGACAGCTTGCTTTCAAATGAGTATAACAATCCTTTCAAGTTCTGCCCATGCTTCTTTTTGATGGTTTTACTTTGTTCGTTTCGTTTCACCATTTACAAAACAAGAAATCCTTGTTTTTCTGATTGAAAGCTTTACGCACACCAGTACTTGGAAATTTGAATTCAAAGCACGTTAGCACGTCATGTGGACCTACATTCACTAACCTAGACTGTTTGACTCCTCTAAGAGTGACCAGATTTTAATTTCTCCCAACAATATCCCCCCTGAATTACACACTAAGGTCACGAGAATAAAAGAAATGATCACAAACTGAAGAAGCTCCTGATTGTTAGGCAAATTCTCCTTATCAAAACTTGGGAAATATATAGAGAACAGTATGGAGAATATTCATACTGATTTAAGGGTGTAAAGGGTTAAGCAATCAGGACGGCAACGTCGAAGAAAACGTCGATGAAGAAGAAATTCATTTCTATTTTTCTTAAGAATTTCGCGGGTTGGTGAATGTGATTACCGTCTCTAACGGCGCCATACATCATCTTCTGCATAAAATACATAAGCAGCGTTGAGTTCTGTTCTCAGATCACCCAAAGTTCGGTGATTTCACTGTGTGGTTTTGCAGAGGATGGCTAAGATATAAACAAAATTTTAGAACGTACTACAGGTATGTTTATTAAATCTTTCGTTTAGTCAAGTTCTCGTTGCTATCGCCGACGTGGTTTGCTTAAAGTCACCAGTACCATCAAGTGAACAAAAAAGGGTGAACACAAGGAACAAGTTAGAAAGGTTAGACTACGGGCAGTCCCCTCTTTACGCCTCTTAGAAAAAAAATTATGTTAGCACGCCATGTGGACCTACTTTTCATTACCCTCACTCTCGGTGTTCTTCGCGGCGTACTAGCATCGTTTCTTTTCCACTAGTTTTGCTGGATTTGCGCGACAGTCTTTGCCGAAAAGGAAGGAATACTCGTTGTCAATAGAAAGATAGACTCTCCCTAAAACATGTGCTATTTTTCCGACTGAATGATTACGATGGTTTGCTTTTAACCACTCCGGGGCGCAAACAGCTGGCCAACTAAATCTAATCACGTGACTTTGTTCACTAAGCCTCACCTTCATTACTAATTTCAGTCAGTCTGTACTCGCCAGCGGTCTCTGCCTTGTTACTCACACCGTCATCGTCCAGATACAACCTGTAGCTGCTGTCTCGGCCGGGATAAATACTAAGGGTGATAGGATTCGTCTTACCGTGACGATACAGCTCACCAATGTACTGTTCCACCTCGCGCTTGGGTATAATGGCGCCTTCCCGAACGTAAACGGCACAGTTGTCTTTACTAGGGTCATCCCAGGGGGCGTAGAAATCGAACTCCACCCCACCATTGACCGGATTCTCCAAAGGACACTTGTCATCTGTAAAACGGTACCACTGACTTCCAGCGGGGAGGTACACGACGCGGTTCGCTTGACCTGAAGATACAACAAGTTATTTAGAACTACCTTATGACTCAATGGCGTTTAATGGCAATGAGATTATAGGCCTTATCTTAGATAGGTATTCGGAGAGTACTAGAATAAAGCAAAGCCTTTTGAAAAGGTATTAATTGTCCTTGAGAGTAAATTACTGCACATCTTCAACCGGGTGACAACAACCAAAAAATCGTAGTATGTTTACATCGATCGATATTTTTCCTGGGTCTCTCATGGTCTACACTGTTTCTGAGGGAGGTTTGAGCATTACCATTACAGTGTGGAATGTTTTAATCGTTAGCTACTACAAATTTAAACGAACCTGGATTGACAATGGGTGCCACCATTATGTCTCTACCCAAAAAGAACTGATCATCCAAGCGGTTGGCCGTGAAACCGTTATACCCCCTGCTGTGCTGGTCATCTGCGCGTGCATCATTATAGAATTCTCCCGGTTTGTACTCATCCATGAACAGGGGCCTGCAGATGGGTTTACCTGTCTGCGTGTTCTCATACATGGCATCGTAGATGTACTGAATAAGTTTGTACCTCAACTCAATGTACTTTCGGCAGATTGTGGGGACTGGTTCTTCATAGCGGTACGGCTCTTGGTATGGCTTGTAATAGTTATCATAGTGGTTTCGGAACCACGGAAGAAACGCTCCCATTATGGTCCAGCGGGCCATTAACTCGGGATCTACAATCTGGCCTTGCCATGCAGCACAGAAGCCGCCAATGTCACAGCCTGACACAGGTTGGGCAGAAAGACCGATGCCGAGGACTAATGGGATGTTCATCTGAACGAATTCCCAGCTTGACGTACTGTCCCCTGTCCACAGTCCAGCATAACGATGAACTCCAACGAAACCGCCCCGCGTGATAATGAAGTGGCGTTTGGTTGGTCGAAGATGCTCCATACCTCGGTAAGTTGCTTTGCAGAGATTGTAATTGTACAAAGAGCGAAGCTTAGCAAATGGTTTCTTGGCATGGTGAGTGCTTACTTTGGAACACCTTGAGGACAAAACATTGGAATTAACTAAAACGCGAGAAAATCCTTTCTCAAAATTTCCCCTCATCTTCATGAAGTTATGGCTAAATCGATTGATGAGAGCTCGGGGACAGATTACTTTTTTGATCTATGTGCATTGTACAGCTTTCACGCGACTCTGGATTTCAGGATTTATCTGAATATACCTGGTCGTGGGTTCTTGATATTTCACTCTTAAGATCTCATTGGTAATTCTCCTTACTGTCTGCCATACAATTTTTATGACGTGATCTCGGAGAATTTGGTACGGGGTCACTACTAATCCCTTACTTTATGTTTGTCTTCATTCTCATTACTTGTCTGCTTGATGTCATATTGATCTTTATGAAGAAATTATTTCTTGATCACTCATCGGAGTTAAAGGGCCTCAGAGAAGCTATACATCCATCGTGGGCAAATGGGTGTCATTTTAAGATTTAACTGCATGTTTAAATATCACAAATTCACCCTCTACCTAGATCTTAATTCTCTCGCATTGCAAGCCCCAACATCATATTTGTCACAAACCTGGTTTTCTCGGTGTCACTGATCATTATATCCATAGGAAATGACAGCAGGGGACAGTCAAGCTGATGAACACTCGCTTTCATGGCTGGAGTGGTCATGTCTTGCCACACGAAGTCCACTCCCCAGTCTAACAGATCACGGTACTGCTCGCCCCACCATTTCTGTGCATCCAACCGTCCCAGATCAGGGTAGTGTCCCCAGGTCAGATGACCACGGCCATAGTTCACGTTACCAATGAATTCATCATGGGTGCCACTGCCATCTTCCCGTGTGTTCATCACAAAGATGCCGCTGGCTTTTCCAGTGTCCAGGGCTTTGTACGGACTGTACTCGCCATTTTCATCTGTGTTGCAGCTCACGATGGGTGTGATGTTGGAGCTGCATTTGTACCCCCAATCGTGCAAGGCATCAAACATCTCTTTAGGATCAGGAAACTTCTTTTTGCTGTGCGTGAAAGTGCGGTAATTGTCCTGAAAATCCACATCCACATGGAGCCCGTCAATTGGAATCTTCCACTGACGGTACTTGAGCGCCACTTCCAGTAGCTTCCACTTGGTATTGTAGTTGGGGCCAAACCCTCCTTGGTGGTAGCCAAACACGTACTTTGGCTTCAGCTTAGTACGCCCGGTCAGCTGAGTGAACTCATTAAGTACCTCGGCAACGTTTTTACCAGCAAGGAAGTAATAATCAAGCTCCCCGTGCAGTACTCCGAAGTAATACTGGTCTTCCTGGCGAAAATTTACAAATGTCTGCGAAGTATTATCGATCAGAAATCCATTGGCGTACGAAGGACCAGTAAATGCTCCGATTGGTTCTGGATTGTGCTCAATGAAGAACGGTGAAGACTGATACAATGGAATATTAGGATTTAATGGCCCCTGTACCTCACCATCGGGTGCTAGATCTGGAGCAGTGTAGCCGAAGTTGTCATAGTTGAAAAATGTCATGGCAGCTCCGATCTTCTCGTCTCCCCCTACGTATTGGCCATAGAAATGCTGTTTGGGAACACGTCGCTTATCAAGCGTTACACCTGCCTTCTCTCCAAACCCGAAATACTGAGCATTAGTCGGCGCCATCTTAAATTGAGCGATAGCCTCACCACCATCATCGCACTTAACGTATACCAGGTTGTAGTCTCCTGGTTCTGCGTGAATCAATTGGCCATCTCGGTACACGGATAACGCATATTTCCTCAAATTGACACGGATCTCAATCTTATTGGTGCCTATCCTCAGAAATCCACCTTGTTCCTCGACTTTGATATCGGAAGCCTCGATCCTTCCCATCTCAGTGGCTGGAGAGAGAGTCTTCCCATACGGAGCTTTAGGGTCAGGGTTGAACCGCACCCGGAACATGGCGTGGGAAAGGAAATAGATGCAAAGTTTAAGATCGCCTTCAAGGAAGAGGGTAAATTTATCTTCCAATCGTTCTTCTCCTTCTCGAATCCACTTCGTTACTCTGCCTAAAGGGATCCAGTTAATTCTGGACTCTGGAGTAAACTCGTCCGCAGGAACGTAGCGGTATGCAGTCATCTTAGGGGTTGGAATACTGGTCTGCAGGAAGCGCAAGTAAGGTAAGCAAGAGAATATGAAATTTTTTCGGTCAAGTTATTTATCTGAAGCAGAAAATCGTCACTTTTGTTAAAATAATTAACGGCATAGAATATGAATTTATATACTGGTGATTAAAAAAGGTGACAAATGACTGGTACAGCAAAACAGTCGTGAACTAAGTTTCACATCGAGACATATTAAATTTGCGGTACCTACTCGTCATTCCGCCTCTTTCTCTCGCTCCTAAGACATTCAAGGGCTGCATTGTGTGGAATTGTGGTACTTTGGCCAGATAAACTATGCTGGCTTAACTTTGGGCATAAAGCTATCACCCGAGCATCAAGCATGATCCCAACAAAATCCTTAAAAATTCCCTCGATGTTACGGTTTATCGAGCGAAAAATTCTGTTGCTTGAGTATTAGTGAGCCTGCCTTTCTAATTTGTACTTTAGGGATATAATAAAATGTTGTGTTTTGCCTCTTAAAAGCTAGTTCAAATTAGTTCAAATTATGAACTGATGATTACGAACAATTTTGGCATAATTCTTTCGGCTTAATGCCATGTTATCAGGTGCGAAAGCTCAAATTTCGAGCATGATTTATCTGACCCTAATTGTGGCACTATGGGTAGTATTATCACCTTTTCTAATATTTTGCGCTCCAGGGCAGATGGAACAGGGAATAAATTTTTTTTTCACGTAACACACACATTTGATTTTCTTTAGCTATGAGGTAAGAGCACCTAGCTGTTTAAGGTACAAAAAAAGGATTCTCCACACTGTACTGTCTACATGACGGTGTCACGCTCGACTGAATCACTTTGACAATATTTGTCAATTAAAGATTGCTTTGGTATGAAATGCAAATTTCCTCTGGTTTTGAACCATTGTGCATTTACACCTACTCTTCAAAATTAGTATAGAAACTGGAATGTACTTTCACAATTTCCAATTGAAATTCTGTTCAATTGAGTCTCAATAAAACGGCTCTTCGTGTCTCTGTTTAAACCTGGTCTTCATCGAAAAGTTTGTTCACAAACGAGGCAAAATAACTTTGGCTTATGACCAACTGTAGCATTCAGGTCTGTAATTGTACAAACCAACTTAAGCCGAAATGCATGCAAACAAAATAACCCAACAGTTACTGCATAATACTCTTAGCTTGAAGAACAAATTTCAGTAATTGACCCTTTCTATAAACTACCAGTAAAAGAACAAAGGTAAGAGCTTTATTAGTAATGCACACGAACAAAATGACCCCGTAGTAACTGAAAACTACCCCAGCATGATAAGCCTAATCCAATAATTAACGGCATACGATCAGAGTTAGCCCTTGATACAAATATTTCCGTAATTTAACTTAACGAGGCTAAAGGAATCGCCATGTACGACTGCTACAATTTTGCTGCCGAGTCGCAAGGCCACTTGAGCAAAACACCACAAGATTAGCCCCATATTCTGCAATTTTACTGAAAGACAGCGTATTTGCTGAAAGACAGCGTATTTTCTGAAAGAGAACTACCTGATCATTTTGTTTACCTTGAGTATAAGACTAAATATTCTTGCAATCAAATTCGCTGGACGGACCTCTAATGGAAGGTGCGGTTAAATCTGGAAAATTCCGGGGCTGAAAGGAGTGGGCGTAATTGACTACAGAATGCTATACAATGATTCTCAAGGGAAGCTTTTTTATGCAAGGGGGCTGCATATATATACTTTCTGCCATATTTTCGTAGGACCCCATGCTCCATTATCCATTTAGTTCTTGCATGAAGGAAACAATGTTGAAAACAACACTCTGCCTCATGGGACTATAGATTTGTTATAGAATAGCGTAATGTTATTTGGAATTCTTTCCCTAACTTCTGGAAATAAATCTTTAGAATATCTTGACAATTTTTACAATAAAATATTTCTGATATAAGACTGCAGATAAATATACATGTTTTCCCATTTTTATTATCTTATGTTGTATATATATATATACTCTACACCGCCTAGATTAGCTATACTATTTTCGGTGCACAGTTACCTCTCTCTTTTATTACTTTACTAATAAACTGATATTGACTGAAAGTGACTCACAAAAGTGTGTTTTAAGTCAAACACCATTTCCAGGCTTTTCTCGACACTTCCCGTGCGCCTTTCACATGATAATTGGCACTTTTCACAATAATTTCGAGAAGCTTCCTTTTCAGAGGAGTCTCTCAGGAGATCAAACATGACAGTTGACTGACGTCCAAGAGTTCTCTGTCAATTAATAATACTTAACTCTTTAACTCCTAAGAGTGACCAGCATCAAATTTCTCCTTACAATATCACCCCTGAATCAAACATTAAGGTCATGAGAATAAAGGAAATGATCACCAACTAAAGAAGTTCTACATTGCTAACCAAATTCTCCTTGTCAGCACCTTAGGAAACGTACAGATGACAACAAGGAGAAAATGCACACTGATGTTGGGGTGTAAAGGGTTTAAGAACCAAATGGAGTCCAATTTGGTCTTGATTCATGCGGGTGATTTCAAAACAAAATCAGACGACTGCAAGCGCATTGAGTAGTCTTTCCTTTTCGGCGAAGTCGAACTCCCTTTTGGCGTGGAACTCTGGGAGTGAAGCGCGCCCCACTCCCAGAGTTCCACACAGCGCGCTAACATCGTTTTTTTCACTGATATTTTTTACTCGCGCAACTAACTTCGCCGAAAAGGAAGGATTTCTCGTGGTCTATTACAGGCAGTTATGAATGAAAAAAACTCCAGTCATCAATTAATCAAACTGGAACAAATTTTTAGAGATGAAACATACCCATAAGTTACAAGTATACATTAGTTAAAACGTGACAGTTAACTTATCCAATTATAAAATAGGCCCAACAATCTGTAACAACAGTGAAGCATTCTGTACAATTTCACAGCCTGGCATGAAGGGTAAACTATGCTATATATTACGGGGGGTAAGTTTCCAAAGAAGCTATGGTGCTGCGTTGGTGGAAGAGTATAACAGGGTAACTAAGTATTATCAACTAAGTTGATAACGTAAAAATTGGCCAAGAAGCTGACGTTTCGATTGTTAGCCCTTTGTCAGAGCGTTAGCCCTACGTCATTCACTCTGACAAAGGGCTAACGCTCGAAACGTCAGCTTTGAAACTGTTAAGGAAACTAGCCAGAAGGCTCATTTTCATTTAATTGATTGTTGATTAGTTTAATCAGGAGCCCAATTTCAGAATTCAAGCGCCAGAGAAACTCTTTACGGTGGCCAATTTACGTTATCAATTTAGTTGACTGTACTATATTACCCTGTGCTACATTGCACTAAGATTGTCCCATCACCCTTCCCAGTTAAAGCTAATGGAGGTAATTTAATGTTAACAACGGAGTTGAAAACGTAAATTGGCCACCGTAAAGAGTGTAAAGACTGACGTTTCGAGGGTTAATACAAAGTTCGTCTGTGTCCCTAAAGAAGGGAAAGATTTCCGTCAGCCCCATACACATTATGAACATTGCTCTTGGATAAACTAAACAATTGTGAAAAGAAAAGATTAACTTTGTGACTACAGCTTTGCTTAAGAATAGTACATGCTATATGTAAATCTTTCCAAAAATGGAAATAAAACATAGCCAAGAGCTGCAAGCTCAAATCCTAACCATCATGACCGAACACTTGGTGACCTACATATATTGTATGTATTGCGTGACAGAATCTCACAATGGGACTGGATGTCGATTAATAAGCTCACCTAGGCACGCGATTGAGCTGAACACGGAAGAGTGCAGGGTAACTTGTTTATATCTAATTTGAATGACAATATTGTTGATTCTCTTTATGGCTACTCCTTTCTAGACTGACCATAAGGTGCCCTTACACTCTTTCGTTACCCTCTTAGAAATATGGTGTTCAAGACGAAAAAACGTTTGAATTTTACGAAGTGTTTAAAGTCCAAGTGGCTGACTGATGTGAAAGATTATGAATTGAGGAAAAGAACAATTTTGGTCAACATTTCCAACAAGGATGCCGTCATCTCGGGGCCGGAACCTCGCAAAGTTTTGCAGCCGAGAAAGTCCACGATTTTAGCAGGTTACGTTTCAGTTGTTTCAGACTCTGAGGATTTAATTTGAAAGGTCATGCGCAAATATCTTGTGAACCTTCAATAATTTTCCAGTGTGAATTTTAAGTCTTCCCTACAAATAGACTGATCTTCAGCTTCCAAGTTTTGTTTTCCATTGAAGGAATCCCCTTTTGTCTTTTTCGAATTATACGTACAATCCGCACATACGCAAGCGAATAAGACCAGAAAGAATCAGTTCTCAAGAGTGTGAGCACTTGATCTACATTGAGACATGAAAATCTACACGATTAAACGGTATATGGAGAAAGTTGGCTTAATACAACCTATGGTTGATTCAAATGGGCTCTGTAACATAATTAGGCATAAGTTTTATGGAAATCTTGCCTTCGATTAAATTGGGCTCTGTTACAAAATAGCAGGTAATTTGGTGTCAACAACTGAGTTGAAAACGTAAATTGGCCACCGTAAAGAGTTAAAAGGCTAAGTTGCGCCAGGTAACCTAACTACTGCGAGCGAAGAATCGTTAGCATGTTAGATCACATGTTCGAATTGCGTTTGAGAATCAAGTATGCTAGATTCAGAACTGGTAATCGCGTTCGGTAAGATTTCCGTATAACTCCATTCTTAATTACGCATGCCGTTGTTGGATAGCAGAAAACAATGTCGAATACAGTATGATGCTTTTGAGAGTGCGGCTTTGTTTTAAAGCAGTACGGGGTCGTAAGGAAAACGCCATTTTCTTCATCTTCGTGTCTAATTAAATTAATCGATGTTGTGGACTTACTAGGTTCCCGAAAAGGTAAGTTTTAGAACAATTCTAGTGTCGGTTAGAGGAAAATATTGTCCACAAATTTCATCTGTGCGTGACTTTAAAACCACATGGTTACACTTACACCGAGAACTACTCTTTCATTTTCTCATTCAGGTGTAAGTGTTATAAGTGCCGAGTCTCTCGTGCTCATCAAAATCTCGGACGAAATCAACATCGGTGGCTGTGTTCTGGAAGACGGCTGGTGTTAGCTGACAGCACAGGACCCAACTTACCCGTGGGATGTCCCGTTGTACAAGTCCCCACAGTTTGGCGTCGGGTGTGTTGAATTTGACCCTTGCACAGTAACGGGAACCGAAAGGCCAAGCTTCCCTGACGGTGGTGTGAAGAAGTTCAACATTAAAGTGAATGGGTGGTTCTGCCCGGCTAAAACCAACTGCGGGATTCATAATGTACACACTAAACCGGAGATGTTAGAGGTAGATTTCTTACCACAGAACAATGTGTACTCCCCCCTCCCCCCTCCCCCCAACCCATCTCCGGTTGATGCGTGTGGCACAGTTTGGGTGAGATGCACGTTGCTCACTCGTAAACACAAATATTCCGATAAACCAGTCTTTGGGTACTTTTGTAAACATCGGCATTACAACGTAAGAGATTGGTCGAGTTAGTCTTAGTTTACGCTTAATTTGATGCATAACTCTATCACACACAAAATTGCTGAAATATAAGAAGAAGGTAGGGTAGAAGTGTTTGATCAATTTCTTACGAGTATTTTTCTTCAAGTATTGTGTAAATAACCATCTTCATTATTAATAACTGTATTTATTATATTGCGAGGTAGTCCTGAGGTAAATCCCAGCATCCTGAGTGGTTCTTACTTGTTCTGTATTTCCCCAAACGGACCATTTCCACAGGAACAGTCGTGAGCGATGTGCTTTTGTCGTTTAAGCCAGCAAATTAAAACTAAACAAGTTAGCTCCAAGAGCCATATTTTACACTACTTATTAACCTTGCTTGCTTGAGCTGTACGAGGGAATATTGGCCCTCTGTCATATTTGTACAGACCTTGCTGCACCTGGTCTATTCTGTCACAGCCAGGGGCCAATATACCCCAGAGCAGCCCTAATGCTCGGTTAGTAAGAAATAATTGTTTGAAGTAACTTATTTAATCTTTTATTTTCATTGCTTGACAGTTTTCCTAATTTCATGAATGTTCTGAATGACTTCTTAGCTCAACGACATGCAATGGATTATTAAATGATTTTTTTGGTCATTGTAGTCCACACCCAGATATATGGCACAGGTAGAATGCAGAAATTCCTCTCCAAAGACTTCAAAAGCATTTATGAAGATGTGCTCATGGCACCTGGATTTACCCATGATCCTTTTGCTGGTGTCAAGGACAACAGTGACATCTTCTATGGTTGGCACCAGTACTACTCTGATACTGATTGTATCTGGATGGCCATTGAATACCATCCGGCATGAAAAAAAACAAAACTGCATTCTTCACCCAAAAGCCAGCAGTCATTATCAAAACACGGCAATAACCTTAGCATAATAGTTTATTTTTTGTTGAGCTATATGAATGTATGAATTGAGTGCTATCTACAAAGCAGAAAAAAGCACTGATATAAAAAGCATGTAGTATCTGTGATTGAGTCCACTGCAAATAAATTATTTCATAAGTGAATATTTAGTTTGTTCTTGATCCAAACTATCTCCATCTCTACAAAAGATTGTGTGAAATGTAATCTTTGCAAAGAAATGACATTTCATATATATGATATATACAGTAGGAAGTAAATGTGATAACCCTCCCCCCCCTCCAGATTATCTTTGCTAATCTGTGCCCTATAGTTTATTCTAACCCACTCCTCCCCTCTAGTTTATGGTAGCTACACTTGTTCCGCCAGTTTCTGAAATGCGCTTGCGAAGAACTCCAACAAGTCTCTCTAACCTATGGAAATCAAAGAGAGGGCAAATTATACACCTAGTCCCCATTGTTTGAAAGGTGGATAGGTTGCTATCCGCTGAATAAAATTCCTATCCAGTGGATAGTGCTACAACTTTTGTTAACAGTTATAAGCTAGATAGCGAGTTATCCATTGGATTTTATTGCCTGCCCTTTTCACAACTGGGCCCTGATCAAGAAATGCTGCATGTTAGCTAGCTGTAGAAACCTTGTTGACAAACTTTAAAAAACAAGTTCCCAGAGGAGGTTTCAGAGACAAAAGGCTTGTCACCCTAAAAAGGACTCATTCAACTTGTTGTTATTGCTCTTCATTTCATCACCTGCAGGAAAATATGAGGTCATGGGCGACAAAGCCAGGGAGAGGTCTTCAAGGGGTTTAGCAGCTCATTTTCAGTGCTGGACCTCCCCCAACCCTCTTCCTGTCTGAGCTCAAATCTTATAGCAGGCAGTGCCTGTTTGTAGCCCTTAAATTCCCAAGATCTCATTAGTAATTCTCTTTACTGTCTACCATACAGTTATTACAATGTTAGTTCGGAGAATTTGGTATTGAATCAACTTATAACACCCTAACTGATATTTTTCTTTATTCTCATCACTTGTCTGCCTGATATTGTATTGTTATTGTAAGGAGAAATTCTGTCTTGGTCACTAATGGGAGTTAAAGGGGTAGTCTATTGACGATCACACTGCATGATTGACTATTGAACCTGGCCTCAAACCATTTACTGAATACAGGTAACTTACTTATCAGCCCGTTCTTTTTCACGTCGTCGGTTTTTCGAAGCCTCTTCCAACTGTTTTGCTAGAGTTGTTCTTTCTTGTGAAACGGCTTTGAGTTTTTCGACCACTTCATCATAACTACGCTGAGCCTGTTGAATATCTACATCTCTTGCTCTGAGGCGAGTTTCAAACCTATCCATTGTCTGATTAAACTGATCTCGTAGGGATTGTTCTTGAGACAATGAGCGGTGTAAACTGAAGGAAAGGGAACAAATGAAAATTTAACCCTTAATACCCTAACATCAGTATGCATATTCTCCATACTGTTTCTATACATTTCCTAATGTGCTAGCAAGGAGAATTTGTTTAACAATCAAGAGATTCTTCAGTTGATTATTATTTCCTTTTTCTAATGACCTTAGTGTTTGATTCAGGGGTGATATGGAAGGGAGAAATTTGATGCTGGTCACTCTCAGGGATTAATGGGTTAATGAGCACTGTAGACAGCAGAGGGGTTAAGAGGGCTGAGGGTTGTTAGATAATCTCAACATAAACTGTATCCTCAAGGAAAGAATGTGAATGTGAATGTGCACATGCAGCCTGAACTTTTTTTTAACCCAAAAGAGATACACTTTTGAATGGCTAACATAGAACAGCAGGAGGGACTATTCTTGTTATCAGAATGTCACATGCCCCAAATGTCATCACCATAAATTCCTCTCTAAATGACAACGAAAACAAAAACTACACAATGGCACACATATGATGCACTCAGGTTCCAGTAAGGTCACTTTTACCTGTAATAGACTCTTATTGTTTCCATTTCTTCCTCGAGTCTTTTTGACTTTTTCAAAGCTAGATCTCTTTCCTGTTGAGCTTGAATTGACTGTGACTGTAAAGAAGAAACAGGGTAATTTTGTATTATCAAATGAGTTGATAATGTAAATTGGCCACCATAAAGAGTTTAAAAGCTGACATTCTGAGCTTTAGCCCTTAGTCAGAGTGTTAGCCTGTCATCAATTGCTCTGATGATGGGCTAATGTCAGGGCTAAAAATTGGCAGTCGCACAGTCACCAGTGGCGAGTTAAAACTGACCAGGGCCACCAAATGTTAAGGTTTGAACACCCGATGTGCAACTATGCTACAGAATTTTGAAAAGTTGCAATGTAAATTATGCGAAGTAAAAAGTTAAAATAAAACTTAATATGTAGTTTCATTGGACTACCTTTCTCTTCGTTTCTTTCCCTGGACTCTAAGATCATCCATTTTAGTGAATTTTTAGTTCTGAAGTGGAAATTGCGAGCTGTTTTAACAGTGATTTCACGAGCTTGTTCTTTCCTTTTAGTTAATGCTCCATTAAAAGCTATGGGGCATTTATTCAAGTTCTTCATTTTAAACTAGAGGAAATCAAGGGCTACTTCATTTTGGGATGGGCCACTAAGAATTCAAAGAAACTGGCCCGACTGGCCACCAAGCACTGGAGTTAATTTTAAGCCCTGTAATGTTCAAAACGTCAGCCTTTGAAACTCTTTATGATGGCAAATTTATATTATCAACGCAGTTGATAACCCTAACTTACCCTGTTATACCCTCCCCCTGATGCAGTATGACAGTTTCTTCAGAAACTTACCCTCTTCATTCATTTGTAAAAAAGAAAGCAGAGGGATGAAATTTTAGGAGGTACTGAAGGGGAAGGGAGGGGGGGGGCAAACAAGGGTTTTTAGGGTCATAGAGAGGAGAAGAGGGGCAAGGAAAGAGGAAAGAGTACTTAAACTATATCGTCAACACCAACTTTCAATATCTTACCTGAATAGCTTTGACCCTTTGTTTGTCCATTAACTTGTGCTGATTTTTCATCAGTTCAATTTCTTTACGCAGGTTGACAACTTCTGCCTCGAGGGCTTTGGCCTAGGTATGGGAGAGAAGCAGAGGGATGAAAAGCAAGTCAAATTTACTTGCTGATAATCAATGAATCAAACGATCAGTCAATCAAAGAATTTAACCAAAGTTTGATAAGATCTAAACCTTAGAGCCTTTGTATCCAAGCCAAATAAGAAAGGAAGTTCAACCCTATAACTCACAGAAGTGATTAACATGCAACTTCTCCCTATTATATCCATAGATTATCTGACAAATAGGTAGTGAGAATACTTAAACTCATCATTACTTTGATTGAACACCAAATTCTTGTAGCCAATTTACAGGGAAATATGTAGCAGCTAGAGGGGAGAATTAACAATCAGATCTTGGGAGTTAAAGGGTTAAGGCTTTGAGCAAAGCAAGCCACTGCAATGCAAGCTGAGAGGTCTGCAAAAGGTCCAGGACACACAAAAAAAGGACTTACGAGGACATTATTGTTTTCCCACATACAGTGTTCACAGACCTTTTGCTGGCTTACATCAGCCTTGAAGAAATGCTCATGCCACAGGGCTAATAACAGTGACATGTATGCAGGCTAAGAAAAAAAGCAAGAAAAAAAGCAGAATTCACCTTTTCTACAGCTGTATCTCTTTCAGCTATAACAGCCTTGAGTTCTTCAGTCACCATTTTCTTTCTGTTCTTCTGTACTGTTCTTATCTTTGTTGCCATTAGATGACCGTTTTTATCAATTAATTCAGGAGTTTCTGATGCTGTTAATCTGCCAAGTAAGGACCTCATGGTCTGATGGATAAAATAATAGTGATGAGAGCTTAGTAAATACAAATACAATCTCAATCAGACAAGAGACAAGAATAAAGAAAATCATCGACTGAGAGATCCTTAGTTGATCCAATACCAAATTCTCCAAACTAACATATAAAAATTGAATGGCATACAGTCAGGAGAATTCCTATCAAAAAGAGCTCTTAAGAGTGAAAGAATTAAGAACTTCACCAAGGTATATTGATCATAGAATAAACAGAAATGGAACATATTATGTTTCCAAAATTTTTTTAACCCTTTAACTCCCATAGTGATCAAGACAGAAGTTCTCCAAACAATATCAATACAATATCAACCAGATGAGTGATGAGAAGAAAGAAAAATATGAATTTGAGGATAATTAGTTGATCCAACTCTAAATTCTCTGAACTAACATTATAAGAATTGTATTAATGGTTTAAGTATGGAGAACTACAAATTTGATCTGAGAGTTAGAGGATTAAGAGATCCTTTCTTGCAACAAAATATTAGTACAGAGACGAGAGTTTGAGCAGTATTTCTTCAAAGCAGCTTGACTGGTCTGAAATTTATTTTTCAAAAACATAATATTATTGTTAAAAAGTAATATCAATATCTTCTTATGATATCTAATAATTACACATACTGGCTCAGTTTCTTCGTCCTCGTACACACTGTCAACACCTGAGTCAAATCTGTCAATCAAAAAAAACCACAAGAATAATGAGACTACTAGTTATAATACTTAACTCATTCAAACGTCACCTTTTGCTTTATCTGTCATCTAATCATCAAATAAAATCTTTTTTAATCAACCAAAATCTAACTGATCAGATTTAAAGATAAGGTATCTTTTAAAAAGTAAAAAAAGAAGTTGATCATGAGCTTTGGGACAGAAGAGGATAAAAAACTGAGATGCCAAAAGAATTCAACCCTTAGCTGGGTGGTTAGCCTGCAGAGCAGACATAATTTTGGTGAGCAAGTACTCAGTAATTTCTTATGAAAATTATGGCTGCCATCTTTCATTTCAATGGCAGTGGAAGGCTGGGGAGAGAAAGAAATTTGTATCAAGGGGGCAGTTGACGGTCAAAAATAAGGAGAGGGGTGGGGGTGGGGGTGGGGGAGTCTAAGAGGAATTTTCAGTGGGAACTTCTATTCTATCTTCATCAAAGCCTTATGATAACTGCATAAAAAAAGTTTTCTTGTGATCTGATTTTAATGAAAATTTAACCCTTTCACTCCCATGAGTGACCAAGACAGAATTTCTCCTTGGAATATCAATACAATATCAAGTGAACAAGTGATGAGAATAAAGAAAAATATCAATTAGGGGATAATAAGTTGATCCAATACAACTTCTCCAAACTCAGATTGTAAGAATTGTGGTAGACAGTAAGGAGAATTACTGATGAGATCATGGGGGTGAAAGGTTTTAACAACAACTTAACCAATAGTATAGTTGGCAGCAATTTTCTTAATAGTATTACCCAGCATGTTCTCTTTCAGCTCTTCTAAGTTTGTCAATTAGCTCCTCTCGTTCAGAGTTTGCCATATGCAGTCTGGCATTCATAGCGGCATCTCGCTCCTTCTGGGCTTGGTAGATTTTTTCCACAAGAGCTGTAATGGTTGAAAAACAACATTTCAATTTAATCCATTTTTTTTAATTCTATCCTTCAGTGTAATAAAATTAATTTAGTCTTTTCACTTTGCATCTCCAGCTGTTTTTAACACATACTAACTTCACATTCCAAATATCATTTCACAAGAGGAGATCCTTCATTTTAATTTTCTGGTTCACAAAACATGCCATGTGGTGAGTTTTGCTATAAACAAAATTAAATTTTCAGCCATTTGATAACCTCAAAGAAAATATTACTGTTCTTAAAAAGTATTTGACAAAAAAGCTGCATATAGTGCTGTTTGAGAAATTCCTATTTAGAAGTTATCGCAATTTCCACGATGCTATCAAATCCAGGGAGATCACCATTTCCACTTCTGTTCGTAAGAGGAAGAGGAGTATTCATGCAAATTATAATCCATCAATTATTTTTGCTCATGTTTGATTGGTGTAGAGGTATCACATGATCAAAGATGACCCAGCTAAAACTGGGGAACATCTGGTGATGCTCTCTAAAAGATATTCCTCAATTTTTAAACCTTATGTCCCCAAGTCTTCATTTAAGATCTTTATGCTGGTCTATTTGTCCTTCAAAATCAACTGTACCATGCTACTCACAGTTTTCCAACAGCATAGCTGAAGGAAAACTGTTTAATTCCTGGAACATACATCCAAGCATATTTTCAATTGAAATAGAGACCATTTAGTTTAGTTTATTTAAGGACTATAGTATAAGATTGCCAGTCTTGACAGGTCAATCATTTCCTGTTTCACTCTTCAGCTTTGTTTTCCTTCCTTACCTGCCCCACGAGCAGCAATTTTTGACTCAGTTTGAGCCAAGAGTTCACCACGGCTTACTCTGGATGCTTCGATTTCAGCTTCTGCTCTGGATAACTTCTCTGTTAGCTATACAAAATACCGCAGGTAAAACAAAAATGTTAAATTCAGTGGTAGGTCAAGCGAGGATTATTTATGAGGATATAATTTTTCTTTTGTTTTCAGAAAAAGTTTTCACATGTATTTTTTACTCTGTTTTATTTGGAAATAAAAATATTACAATGTAATATTCATAAACTTTAGATACAATAAATCACTATAAACCCTTCAACTCCCAGAAGTGATTAACATGCAACTTCTCCCTATAATATCAATACATTTTCCCACAAACAAGTAATGAGAATACTCAAACTTATCAGGTAGAAGTTGTTATCTTGATCTAACACCAAATTCTCATAACTAATTTACAAGGAAATGTTTAGCAGTTAGAGGGGGGAATTAAACAATCAGATCTTGGTAATAAAAGGGTTTAAATAAATATATTGTTTTCTGTGTTTGTCAAAATATCTTACATATAGCTGCCAATTATATTGTGCTGTTCACCACTATATTGGTTAAAAAAGTTAAATGAAAATTACTCATTTTGTAAGCAAACCCTTAAAAATTGCAACTGAATTACCTGTAGATTCAAGCGCTGTGCAAGGGATAATTCTTCCCTAAATGAGGAAGTATCCTCTCCAAAACTGCTTGTCGTATTCATGAGTGAATATCCTTCATTCTCTGCACGCAAGCTCATAGTTTTTTCCTTGTATAGTTCTTCAGTTTTCTCTGCTAATTCTGCCTCCAAGGTTTTTCTTAATGACTTTTCTGCATCCAGAAGTTTATCCCTAAATTACAATTTACATTGTTTATCAAAAGTACTTAAAATACATTTGTCTAAATTTCTCTTGGTTCCAATATCTGCAATTTTTGCAAGTTGTATTATTCATCAACAGTGATTATTGGTAGTATTATACAAAGGGTATGATGTTGTTGTATTAATAACATGTCTACAGATAACATAAACTATTTTTACCAACAATTGTAAGTGATTCTCATTAATCTTATATGTGCACTATTAAGTTTAATAGGAAGAAGACTATCAAACGTTTTTGTCATATTTCAAAGACTGAGAACGGTTCGTGCCTTGTTAAGTGTTTTTTGTCATAAAAATTAAATCTGACGTACTTCAGTGGATAATTTTATTACTAAATTTGCATTAAAGAACACTTTGAAAGATAAAAAAAATTAATATCATTGGTTGTTTTAATCTTTGTCTATTCGTTATTCAGGATCACAGTACTTATTTACAAAGTTGATACTTCGTATATGTATGCAAACTTACCATAAAATCTGTCCAAGGTGTTGAAGCTAAATTGGCCGGTTGCCATAATGTTTTGGAAAAGAAGACTTCATAGCTTTACAATTACACCGTACATTAATTTTGTTCGACGAATTTTGTATAAAAACTCCGACTTTGAGACCAGCAATTAAAGCAGAAAATGCCACACAATGAAACAGCGGAAATAAATCATCACAGAGTTTACATCGATCGATAAAAACTTCTAAATCATTTTTTAAAACTCAGCACCAGCAAAGTTGTGGAGAGTCAGACATGTTTGTTTATCGCAAACAGCAGGTTGATGGAAACAAGACACCTCAGGACCACATTTTAAAACGATGAAACGATACAATAGTCAAACAAAAGAAAATTAAATACACACTGCAATTAAAATGTTAAAAATACTTTCAAAAGCCCTCGAGACCCGTACGCGTATTAAAGGAATTCTACGAATAATCCATAACCTCATACTGTCATGGTCGTACTGTCGTTCAACTTTGCGGGAGTTTAGCTCTCTAAACTATTCATCCGAGTCATCAAAACTTCCTCTCTTAGTTTCTTGTGCTAGTATTTAATTCTAACAAATAAATAAACACACGATCAAGACTTGTAATCAACGCTCGAAGCTCGATGGCGTCCATGCAAAGTTGCGTTGCTACACAAGTTCAGAAACGAACTGATATCCGTAGACCATCAAAAGAGCCAATATTTTAAGCATATTTATACTCAATATTTGAAACAAACCATAATCTATTTGGTGATGAATTCAACTGATATGGAGCTGCATGGATATCAAGCTTAATGATAGCTATATTCAACCTACTTTTCCTCCAGGTCCAATCGAAGGTTTGTGATTCGCTGGCGGGCACCTTTCATTGCCGCCCTCAAATTCTGTCGTACTTCACCAGGATTTTCCAGATCGGATTTATGCTCCGAGTAGCCATTTACTAAGCCACTGTGGCCTCTGGTGAAGGAATCATCTGTTGAGTTGTCAAGGTATTCTAGCCCTTCGTGAATTGACTCCATACTGGACGCAAGAATATTCCAGTAAATAAATTAGCGTTTAGACATATTCAATGTTGGCTGCGTTCTAACCAATCAGCAGTGAGACAAAGTCTTGACGCCTCAGAGCGCATACACGCCGTATCGAACAAGAAACATGGCGGCCTTCTACTGTGCTTTCTCCCGCAGACTCCTAATGAAGTCTTTTTGGCGGCTTAGTTCTTCTCAAAAACTCTTCAGAAGCACGTTGTCGTTCAATTTACTAACCAGAATTAACGGAAAGGCCAAATTCTCCAGAAAAGCGGTCGGTCAAAGTGAGGCGACTTTTGAGGCGAATGGCACAAATTGTAGTGAAAATGTGGTCAGTGTTAGTACAAATTCTTCTTTCGTCCACCCTGACAAACGAACGATATTTGTGGGGAAACTAAATCCCATAGCAACAGAAAATTCAATCCAGGTTTACTTCGCTCAGTTTGGAGAGGTGGAAGAGGTTTTTTTGAAAAATCCCAAGAAGTTTAAACAAATGTGGCCATATGCATACGTGCAGTTCAAAGATGTCTCTAGCATGGAAAAGGTTCTCGCTCAAAGGCATTTGATTCACATGAGATACGTGCAAGTGAATGCAGCTTATATGAAAAACTCTCAAAACAAGATTTGCGTCTGCAATGTTCCACAGGAAATGACAACATCAGAGTTAAAGGCGCATTTTTCACATTATGGGGAAATCCAAGACGTGAATGTGGTCCTTATGGTTAATCCTCGCTATTGCTTTATTGAGTTTACAACCGCAGATGCGGTGCTAAAAGCTCTTGAAAGTCCCATCCATAAAATTGGTGAGAGCGAGGTGGTTGTGAAGAAGAGCATTGAAAACGCGAAAAAGATCTATGTGAAAAGGAGAGTCTGTATACATGAAGTTCCAGAAGGGCTAACATTGGAACATTTGAAAGATTACTTTGCACAGTTTGGAAGGTTGGCATTTATCGATATGATTTTCATGCGTAATCACAAGCTGAAAAGAGACATGGCAATTTTGGCCTTTTTCAATGACGAGCCTGTCCAAGTGTTAGAAAAAAATTACCTGCACATAATTAAAGGAGAAGAGGTGATGGTAAGGCGCGCCAGGTCTCAGGATGGGAACAAGGAGCGTAACGTACAAATCTTTGTGGACAAGATTCCAGGTTGTGTAAAGAAGGAAGAACTGACACAGTATTTTGAAGGATTTGACGATGATATTATCCACCTCAGCATGAAGAGGTGGGGAGGAAAAGAAAATTTTCAAAGTGCATTTGTTACTTTTAAGAAAAAATATACAGTTAACAAAATTATGGCCAAAGCTGAACATTCTATTGGTGCAAGACAGTTTATTGTTAAAAGGTTTGGATGGAGTGCTTGAGAGCTCTAACTTGTCATTAAATTAGGTGGACACAAAGCTTGTTTCTGAATTTTACAAAATATGTTCAAAAGTTTCATTCTGATTGGCTGGGGGAGATGAAGTTTTCAGGTAATATAATGCCAGAGAGATTATTCAGTGGAAAAAAAAGGTAACAGAGTGTTTCACTGGGCATTGAAATTTTTTGCAGCTAAGAAACTTAAAGAGAAAGAAAGTTTTGTTTTTTGGTGAATGTGGTTGTCTTGATTTGATGGCAAAGGGAAGACTGTCTTGCTCATTGTGCCCGTGGGGAGTACTCCATAAAGTGGAAATATTAATTTTTCCTCTCTACCATAACTATTATTTTGATCACTCATTTACCAATGCTGTTTGATTTTTACTTGGTCATGAGATAAGTGATGCACACTTTGTAAAATGTTCACCTTCCTTTTTATTGTTTTTAAGTAAATCAGAAATATAGGTATGATATGGCTACATTCACTTCAATATGAAGTGTATCAATGTAAGAATGTTTTGCAAGCAAACCATGTTCATGTGAATTGAGGCTGCCCAGCTACCATGACCATGAGCACACACCTCCTTGATCTAAAATTTTACTGTGTCCATAGAGTATTTCAAGGAATTTCACATATACATGGCAGAATAATAACCTACGATTGGGTAGTAGCATACAGGCAATTGTAAGAAAAGTTAAAAATGGATAGTTTGCAAATTTCAGCCTAAAAATATATTATGCATTCATATTCTCAAAAATAATGAAAATGTTAATTTTTTCAAAGTTCTTGGAACTCACTCTAATTGCCTCCTAAACCAGTGGAAAAGAATAATTTTGTGACACTTGTTGTCCAAATAATATCAAGGTATACATGTAAAAATTGAAATCGCTGTCAAGGATAGAAGGGCAACTGCAGAAATCTAGTTAAGGCAAAATGATAAGAGTTCCATAACTTTTTTTAGTAATTAAGAAGCTCTCCCTCACAATACTTCGAATTTCACTAGGAAAAAAATTTCCATCTAATAGATGGAAATAATGAATTTTTTTTGAAGGGCATATGAGGGAATTAAAAAATTTGCAGTAGATTTTCCAAGATCTTCACACTGTCGTGTAGTTACATGATCAAATCTTACTGTAAGTCAACTAAACTGCTCTAAAATATATGACAAGAATAAATAAATTGACTTTCCCTCCACATGAAAGAGACCAACTTAATAAAAGGAGTGAAAATTTAAACCTAATAGCTGCATCATGTGGGTTGCAGCAAGTTGAAAATGGGATTAAGGTTGCCACACTATTGAAAACTGGAGTTTAATTCATTAGAAACAACCTCAGTTCCCATAAAATAATTTGTCTTTCACTCACAAGCAATGATTCAGCAATAGAAGTTTACACACAAACGGCCAATTGTGGTATTGGAAAGTGCCAAATGCCATTCACCATTACATGATTATCTTCAATACCCCTTTCTCACACAACCGCAGCTATTGCCAGTACACTAAAATGTTCTCTGTTTCAATTATACCAGTACCTCATCAAGCCATGTGATACAGTATGAAAATAACAATGTTTCAGACACAAACAATAATAATAAAGTTAGTTTTTTTGGGATTCATGCTGTGATTTGTCTGCTCCTATATTTGCTGGATCTCTTCTTTTAAATATTAACAAGACCGGTTTCCATTCACTACAGACAATTTTTTAAATACAATCCATGGAGAAGTTGGTCTTCAACTTGCCAACCTACCAATCATACCAGATTTAGCAAATTTGACAAATTCCTTTACAGGAACAATTTCCATGGAATAAGTCCTCTACTGGAATCAAACACAACCATGCTGTGAAATCCTTTAAATAAACACAGCCCTTGAACCTCAAATGTAGTGCACTGACTTGTGCACTAGCACTACATTCAGAATGTTAATTTTTAAAGAGACAGGTTTAAGGCTTCAGAAGACGTGACCTGTAAGCAGCTTGGTATAACTGTTTCAGAGAAACATGGTGATCACAAATGAAAATCCTGCTCCAACACCCAAACCAATGATAAGCATGAAAGCCATCATAGTTCCTGCTGTTTCTGCATGTTCTGGCTCCACCATGCTGTGATAAAATGAAAAGGAAAAAAAAGAGTGAAAATTAACCTTTAGCATCTAATCTCCTTGTTCTGTTATTAGAAATACCAAATCCATAATATCTAAACTATAACCCAAAATTATTAGGAAGTCATTTGCATATTCTGAACCCACAGACTTAATGAATAATCACATATCAAAAACAACAAAAAAAGATAAACAAGTAAGAACCACTTATCACAGAATATTGATTATAATAAAAGCCCTACACTTCAATAGACACCAAAGTTTCCACCACTTAACTTTACTCTTTAATTCCCAAGAACCAATTCTTAATTCTCCCATCTAACTGTTACACATTTCCTTGTAAATTTGTTATGAGAACTTGGTGTTAGATCAATAACAATTTGAGTATTCTTATCACCTGTTTGCTGATTAATGTGAGGACATTGTAAAAAAAAGTTGAATGCTAATCAATTCTGGGAGTTTAAGGGCTAAACCTTACACAGCACATCTGATGAAAGTAATAACCCCTAGCTTTTATTTAAAAGATCACCACCAATGATTTATTTCAGTAACATGCGACAAAGTGTGAAATTATTTCTTTACTTGAAAACGATCCTGACAAAAAATACAAGTTCAACCAAGTGTGATTGCTAAATATTTTCCAAAACAATTTACTCATGAAAACTAAATGAGGTAATTTGAGTGTAGTTTTTGTCTTTATCATTACCATTATAATCATCATCACCATCATCACAATGCAACTACGGATTAATTAGTAATATATCAGTAAATAAATAAATAAATAAATAAATAAATTACTGTTTAACTTACGATGGTCCATACATCATGCACAAGCTTCCAAGATAACCATTTGAGATGGCAAATAACACCATGAATATTATTGGGAAGTAATCCTCATGGAAAAATATTGGAGTGCCATGTGGTCTCGGCAATGCATTACATAATGCAAACAAAGGAAGGAATACCACTCTTGAGAAACAGAGAATAGGCAGAAGATAACCATCTTTGCCAGGCTGAAAGAAAGTTGGATGAAGTAATCAGTAAAACAAACACTCATGAATGACCAAGTTGTATTCTTCGATAAATGGCTGCATTTAAGATATTTTTCAAAAGTAAATGGAGCTGTACACATCAAACTTGCACAGCAACAGTAGTAAAGGGACAAAGCTAAGGAAATCTCAAACAGTTAGAAATCTCTACACCTGACTAAAACTACAAGGTGATTTTTTTCATAGTGCTCCACAGGGAATCAATAGTAAGAACTTGCCCTAAAGATTTGCACCTAACAAAATATTGTTACTACACTCAACTAAGCATTTTGTATGGATTTTATCATTATTTAGTTAACCCTTCAACCCCTAAATGACTAGCATCTAATTTCTCCTTATAATTTCACCCCTAATTCACACATTGAGAGATCATGAAAATAAAGGAGATGATCACCAACTAAAGAGGCTCCTGGTTGTTTTTAAAAAAATGCTCCTGGTCAGCACCTCAGGAAATATATAGAGAACAGTGTGGAGAATATGAATACTGATGTTAGGGTGTAAAGGGTTACTTCTACAATAACTGGTTGTTTGCCATAAACTTTTGAATACAAACTGTGCTGGTTAACTCCTCCAAGAACAATTTAAAATGCTCTTATCCAAAATACTCACCCACTGTGTAAAAGAAGCTGCTAGTCGGCCACAGAAGTCTCCAACATTGAACAAAAGGAAGCATGTTACAGGAACAAAATAGATTTCTACAAACAAACAAACAATGTCAAGTAAGTAACTTTACAAATTAATAATTGCCCAAAAGATGTATGTGTGGTACTGAAAGTTATATGGAACTCTTCTGTTAGGATTTTTTAGTTGGTGTATTTACATCCAAGATTAGGATATTGACAGCTCATACAATACCAGGTAAAGTCATGCAATTCTAAACAACATTGGATGTTGCAGTGTCAAATTTGCATCCTGGAGGCTTGGACTTTTTTTCAGGAATCACCATTTTATGCTATTGGGACTTTTAAAGGGATTTAAAGTACAAAATGGGCTCCTGGTGAAATTTAGTTTTGCTTTGTTCCTTTCTGGTTGATTGGGACAATGACACAGGTTCTCTGAAATAATCACTGCATGAAGTAAAGAAAACCAATGCACTCTTGCATCACTTTTAAGAATCAATTATCTTATGTTGCTCTTTAAAAATATACCAGTCACAATTTTTTATTACAGGTATTTTCTTACTTGTCCACTCTGAGCCATTGTCTTCATGCTTTGATCGTATTCTGGATGTCAATGAAGGAAAAGCTGCTAATGTCACAAAGAATACAAATGCAACAGATGAACCTAACTTGAAGATCTGCAAGAAAAAAGAAAGAAAATAATAATGAAAGACACTCATTTATAAATATCCTTGAAAATAGCCCATACATGAAAAGTTCCCTTCCCTCCCAAGTACTGTTGTTTGCATCTGAGCATGAACATGTGACATCAAAACATGATCTGACTGGGTGTTACCATTAGAAAGATTGTCATTAAATAATGTGCGTAACTGACCAAGCATGAGGTCAAGATGGCCGGATATTAGCCTTGTTTTTTAAATTGCTTTTTTGGGGACCTTGACTTCGTCTTGGTCTATTAAAACGCGAAAAAAGAACTCAGCCAATATCCAGCTTTATTGACCATACAAGCTTGAACAATAAAGGATTTATTACATATCAAAAACATTTTGCTTAAAAATCAAGAGTGACTTGTTTATTTCAAAAGCCTGGAAAGAAAAGCAATATGCATCAGTTGCACAATAAATCCACTAGAGTTGTTAATGCTCTTTTTGTTTTGAATGCCTTCTGCCACTTTTTGCAACTCCATTACCAAAATTGTCCAAAAATGATAAACTTTGAAAGTCTGCTCCATGCACATTTTTTCCTTGCATGAGATCAAAGCAGACAATCCCAAGCAGGCAATATGGGCCCATCTTGCCCACTCGGGGTACATTATTTGCTTCATAGTCCTCAAAGGTGCTTTCAGCTATATAATAATTAAAGTTTTGGCATCATGGGTTTACCCATAGATGCGAGTGATGCTATTGTCATCAAAAAGAAGTGGATGACAAGCCTACACAATCGTACCATACCTGTCTAAAAATCACAAAAAATGGTGGCCTTTCATTCCCAAAAGCTTCTGCTTCTTTTGGATGAAACTTAACTGACAGAAGTGCCTCATTATCCAAACCTTAAAAACAGACCACTCAGAGAAATAAGTGTGAGACCAAAGATAAATTATTGATTTGCCTCTTCCATGATCAAAAAGAAGTAAAACAAAAAATAAACATGCGAGATATTCTCAAACTTAGATAGAACTAGACTACTCCCAAAAAAAGAAGAATTTCATTACTTCAAACTTCTTGATGACTAGTAAAATCAGTTTAGGAAACTGAGGGTCACAGACAACCATGATAAATTTACAGTGATCTCAAGAAAAACAAGTCCACATCTAGGATGCAGACATCCAAGATAAGCATTATTATGAAATTACTGAAGGGTCCAAATCCTGAATGCTGCCATTTATAAGATCAGGATATAAACTTTGCTCTTACTTAAGTTTGAGTTTTGAATGATCCCTGATCGTTTTACAGCTGGTATCTGCCAGTTTGCCAGTCTCTCAATCTGATCACTTTGACTATATGGGCTCTCTGTGAAGAAAGCAACAAGAAAACCATCGATAAATAAATAATGGACCTAAGCCCAGCAGATGTCCTCAGTGATAGATAGGCAAGAAACAATGAATTAACCCCTTAAGTCCCAGAGGTGATTAACATGTAACTTCTCTTTGTAATATCCATAAATAATCAAGCAAATGGCTCATGAGAACACTCAAACTTATCAGGTAGAAGTTGTTATCTTGATCAACACCAAATTCTCATAACTAATTTATAAGGATATGCGCAGCAGCTAGGGGGGGGGGGGGGAAATTACTGCTAGACCTTGTGAATCATGGGATCAAACACAAACTGTAATTGACATGGTAAGCAAAACATGTCGGCCAGAGCAACAATTATTTGTCACACAGTTTAAAGCCAGTTTATTCCGAATGGACCTGATGGGCTATTAGGAGGGAAATTGTGCTTTACTGATCCAGCCACCTCCTTCATATCTTATTGAAAGCACTGAACTTTATCACAAAATTGTCCAAATATTGAGCCTTGTAAGTCTGCTCCAAGTATTTTTTTTTTTAACTTATAAGGGATCAAAGCAGGTGATTCCCAACAGGCAAGATGGGCACATCTTGCCTGCTTGCTAGCCAATCAGAACACAGGATTCACTTCATATTAATCACAGGCACTATACAAACAAGCAAATAGAACGTAATCTATACTTACTGATTTCAGTTCTTCTGCTATTTGGTGCTATATAATGTCTAGCAAATTTCTATAGGAAAAAAACACAATTTTGAGTGGAGACTATGTTTTGTTTCATTCTAAATGACTCTACCTTTAGCAACCACTAATGCATCTATGATGCACTATGGCAAAGTGCTGTTAGCATTTTGGAATATTTTAATGAAAAATAGGTAAAACCTTAACATTATAAAAGAGTGCACAGGTCTACAGATACTAACCCACAATAAGGGAAAATTGAATCACACATTAAGTTGTAAATTAAAAACCCTACAAAGACTTCTGGTAACTAAGTACAAAGAAAACAAAAGCCAAATTAAAGCTGGTGACACATCTGGTGATTTTTGCTAATCACAGTGATTGGCAAAAATCACAAGGTGTGCCCTATTGTAGTGATGGTGATTTGAAAAAAAAAACAGCTGCTATCTGACAGGCTACTAGCAATCAAATTTACTATGATTGGTGAATAAAATTGCTAAGTGGTGTTACCTACTTAGTTAAGTTAAACCCTTGACCAAAGACAATTTGTTTTTAGTGTGTTTTCATCTACAGAGAAGTTTACCAGCAAGTCTTGCCTTTGAAAACTGCACCCCTTTTTCTATAATTGAAAAAGCCTAACACTCCAACCTTCTTACCAGTCTATTTAACATCATGTATGTGATAAGACATAGAGTGAGCACTACTGCTGCTGACATGAAGTACCCGAAGCCACTGCTTACAGCATCCTTTCCTCCTAGAGGAAAAAAACCAAGTAAACACTTTAAGAAAAGTGATGCAAACTGTACATTACAAGAAGAAAAAGTTTTTCTGAAAGAGCATTTTGATGGAACATGACTGAACTACAGAGAAAACAATGGAAAACAACACAGATTTGTGTATTATTTCTATGATTCTACGAGCCCATAGAAAATAACCCAAAAAATACTATGAGCAGAAAAATATTCATGATTGCAGTGTGATTTTCATAGAAAAATTAAATGGTATATTAGGGCAAATCCAGTGCAAACTCAAGATAGGAACTACAAATAACTTGCTAATTTAAACCACTTTTTGTTGTGTGACCAAACAAGCATGTACTAGTAGGAAAATAAGGAGTCTACTTTGCCAATAAAGATGCTGAAATTCTTAAGCAAACTTGGTTTTCCATACATGTATTTCAGACCTTGTGACCAGAATTATCACCAATATTCAGTGCAAACTCATATTTCTTTCAGCATCCAATGACAAAACTTTCTCAGAGACTATCAGATTGTAGATAAATAAAGGGCATAAGTTTCTAAAGAAACTGTGGTGATGGGTCAAGGGGGGGAGGTTGTTACAATATAATTTGGTTTTAACAAATGAGTTAATGATGTAAATTGGACACCTCTTAGAGTTTCTAAAGCTGATGTTTAGTATTAGCCTTTTGTCAGATGCTCAAAATTAAATTCAGCTAACACTCAAAATATCAGCTTCAGAAACTCTTTATGGTGGCCAATTCACAATGTCAACCCAGCTTATAAAGCCAAACTATAAGATGATACATGTTACTTACCAAGCAGTGAGAATATACTAGCTAAAGCAGCAAATGTGCCTCCAACACCCTGCCCAGAGAGAGGATGTTAAAAAAGTTGAGTTGAATGACAACAAAAACATTACTTAGAAGCGAGGGAGAGAGGTTTTGAATTATCTGATTAAGAGGGTTTACAAATGAGGAAAAAGAAAATCTAGTAGAAAACCTGTAGACCGTTTCCTTCTATTTGATTTTTCTTATCAAACATTCTGTTTATCTTCACTATGCTAAAGAAAACCAGCATAGTACATTGTACCTTCTACTGGTCACAGAGTCAAATCTGCACTATTACTAATGTCAGTTTAATATCTATTAGAGACCATAAACATTAAGTACTTTACCTGACCAGTCATAACAGCTCCAGTGTATTTTGGAGGCATCATTCCACAGACACCAAAGAGTCCTCCTTGATAAATTGCACTGCTCACTGCAGAGGACAGAAACTCAGGATTAACTTAAAATGTCTTTGTACATAAAGGCTCCATGTCTCTGCACACCTGTGACAGCACCAGTGTTCAACATGCAATTAAATTTGAAATATGCACCAGCATGGAGGACCCACCCATAAACCATTCATCAATAACAAGCATAAAATATGAGCTTGTCCACAACATTCAAGGTAAAGCTGCCTTCAAAGAGAGTGAATTTAGTGGCTTTTGCTATCAACTCCCTTCTTTCCAATATCTATACTTGTACATGGACAATGCTCATGTTCAGAAAATTACTTCATATTTTTTCAGGTGATCTGAGATATCAATTTGTTTGTAAAATACGTTTGTAGAAAAAAGATAACAAAACCATCTTTACAAGATCAGTTATCAGATCAGTTATCACTTACTGTTAATAAGGATGATAGTTCCAATTGTGATGTAAAAGAAATCTGTTGTCCCTGTGGATTAAATAAAAATATCCAAAATTATAATCACTTCATTTGAGTATAGCTAAATCTGCTAAATTTCCAATACCTGTCAGTTTGAAAATTTCCAGAAATTTGAAAGGAGGATTCTTATTATTGTCACTTGTGAGAGTAGGAGGATTCAAGAATGGAAGAATAAGAAAGCATTGAGCTTCCTTGCTTGTACTTAGTGCAACATCGCAGTTGCATGAACAAAAACAGACACAACATAAGAGATATCATGGAGTAAACAACTGTGCTCAAGGCATGAAATTAATTTTTTTTTCTGATAGCCACTTGGCTCCTAAATTCTTCAAAGTGGTAGCCAAGTGAAAAAAAGTTGGTTGCCATTTTCAAAGACAAACAAAACCTTCTTTTAAGCTGTCAGCATTCTAGACAGCCCCTCCAAAACTAAGTTTGGGAAAAGATCTTTAACGTGCTACAAAGTGGACACTAGGTTGGACGATATACAACGTTAAAGCTCATTTAATTCCAAGATAACATGTCTAGTTATCAATCGAGATGCATCTGTTGCATTTTGGAAACAAACATAACGAGGAAGTTTGCGAAGGATTTATCTTTGCAAATCTTTTTAATTCACTATATCTCTTGGTAAGGTTATGATGAAACATTCTAGTTGCCAATTTGGCGACTAATTTCCAGGATTTGGTCACCAAAGTGAAAAAGTTAGTCGCATTGGCGCCTGTATTAGGCGCAATTTTACGCCCTGATGCTGCAATTATTACTATATACTTCTCAATAACTGAGTTTAAGGCTTATACTGAGCCTTTTCCACTCAAGATTTATTGATTTAGCAAAATAACAAAGTTCTGAAACTTGAAGTATAGACCAAGAAAACAAGAACAGTAAGATATTTCATATCTTGTATCTGTGGGTTCAAATAGAGGGGTATAATTTCAAATCCCACCAAACTCTAATTTAACAGGCTGTATAATTATTTAAATATGGTCACTAACTATAATACAACTATAGTAAAGATAGATACTCACATTTTTTGGTGTCAATCACTACCAAGACTGTTGTCAAAACAAAACACAATGTCATAATACACACTGATGTAATCATTCTGACTTGCAGTGAAACCCTGAAAGAAAAGTGTGTCAATAGCTTATTTTGTGAGGATAATTTGAACAATCAAGTATTTAAAACAGTTCAATTTTTGCATGCTTGGCTCAATATTATTAACACTAAAACAGGATTTGGCCAAAGCTTGAGTCTTGTGTAACAGAATATATGAAAAAAATTGTATACAGTAGGTGCAAACAGCCCATGTGTCAAAATAGAAGACGTCAAGTGCTTTATTTTTGCGCACGAGAATCCCATTGTTTCCTCAATTCTGTGAATTGAGAACCTTGAAATTAATCCTCAACACTCCATTCTCAAAAGTTTCAAAGTTTAAGTCTAGACTGTCAAAGGTACTATTTTGAAGGGAAAAAAAAACATTCTTACTTGTGCTTAAAAAGGGTGTTGAGTAAGAACATTAGAACATTGGGCACCATGGCTGCTACTGAAAAATAGTTCTCAAAGCTATGCTTCAGATCTTCATGTGCCTTTAATTTTTCTTGGAAATACTGTTAAAAACAATAAAGAATAAGTGTGAGTAATCTGGTGAACATGAAAATAGAATTTGCCATATCCTAAAGCAAACAATCGTATCTCACAAGAAATCACATTTACCCTACAAAAATAAAACAAAATAACAACAAAAAATCTAATTGCTACAAAAAGAGGTGTGTTTTGAATGTAAGGGAGTATTGTCAACAAAACCAATGGAGAGAGAGAAACTTAAAGAAATCCAGGGCCTTAGGAAGACCTTAACACCTCAGGCTTCTTTTCTAGAAGATAAAATAACTGATTTAACAGAGATGATTGTTTCATTTCATGCATACAATCATTATACTTACTGCATGTGCAGTGATGAACATGTTCCAGGGCAACAGGGTGCCCACTCCTTGAATAAGCATGATAAGGTAGACCACATTGAACCTGCATAAAGACATTGTTACTGTTTCATAAACATAACCATAGAATACTTTAAAAGGATTTAAAAGTGTTAAAGGAAAAAACAAAAGAAACTTGCTCAGTGCTTGTGTCACAATCTTTATGAAGTGAGAGAATGTTTCTGCTAAGTCCTGCTAAATAAGTTACACTTAAGGGGTCGAGGATTTATTGGGTTTTGTGATGATGTGGTAAGTGACAGTGACAGAAGATATTTTGGTCTGGGTTTCAACACTATCTGCTGACTGCACTAATTTAAAAAAGTGTTTAAGAAAAAGAGCAAAATAAGCTCATGACAATGCTTATAAAGTAATGAAGGAAATACTTCTTCCCAGTATCATCAAATCAACATCATTTAAGAGACCAATATTTTCTGTTTTTTGATGAGGTAAGTGACAGTGAAAAATTACAGCCAATAGTTAGATCTGCATTTCATCAGTATCCACTAACTTCAATAAATCTAACCACAGGCAGATCACACTATGTGTTCATGGTTAATAATTGTTGACCTGAGACAAAAAAAATATATGAGGGTTAAGAATAAAGCTATGGAAATGACACATCAAATTTACATCTCCTTCTGAATATCTCAATAGGGTTAAATGGAATGTCAATTGATGCATGTGATATTTTTTAGCCCTCATGGGCCATTTGAAGCCTTTTTGTATGAAATTACTTTTAGTCAGAGGCCATTAAGATCAATGTTGTTGTTGATCAATGAGATGTTGCTCTGTCTATGTGCCGAATTTGAGCTTCATCCCTCCAACAATTTCCGAGAACATCAATCCTGAAATGATGAGTATCTTTTTCTCAATATGATTGGTGCCAAACTCAGCAACCAAAGAAATGCAAGGCAGGAAGGCTTTTTCAAATTTACCATACAGCGCAGCAACTTCCTGTAGCAGCCCACTGCCGTTCAAAACCAAGTTATACACTGATTGGTAAATTTGAAATGAACTGCACACTTCAAATTCTTTGGCTCGCTAAGTTTGACCTAAATGTAATTTAGATATGCAATTTTCAGAGCTTCATTCTTAACCCTCAGAGATTTTGTTCCCCTCATGGCAATAATTATTTACCATGAACAGATAATGTGATCTGCCTGTGATCTAACACAACTAACTCTTCCCTTGACTCTAATAATAACTGCTGGTGAGGTGCTCATATATTAACCACACTTGCCATCAACATTCCTTGTCAACACGAACTTCACCATGACAATCAAACTACAATTTATAATTATCCCTTTACTGCTACAACCAATCCTTTTACTGGATTATCTTTTTCTCCTTCTTTATCTTTCAAGAATTGAACTACACTTGATGCTTCCTTAACCCTTTATATCCTAAAATCAGTATGCATATTCTCCATACTACTCTTTACACATCTCCTTCTCCAAAAGCATCTTTTGTTGGTGATCATTTCCTTTATTCTTATGACCATAATGTGCAATTCAGGAGTGATATTATGGGGAGAAATTTGATGCTAATCACTCTTAGGGTTTATAAGGTTAACTTTCAATGCTGCCTAATCAGAACATCAACTCTTGGTCAATATTTAAATCCATTTATAACTTGTTCTTACTTCCACTGAACTTAATCTTTGTTTCTAGTAATTCTACTGAACTATGCTCTTTAATAATTGTAATCTTCTTATCTCAATCTGTGAGAGAAATACAAGGCACAACAACATCATAATTCAGAATTTTTAATTCATAAAGGGAATAATTCCTTGTTGCCGATAGCACAGTATCTAATGCCGGCTATTGGCAGTGATAAATTAAATATCACGTCATGATCACTAAAAGAAAAGCATCCTTGCTCTAAAAACATGTTAAAACAAGATCCCATATCTAATTTTGACTGTAAGATCCCATCGCTAATTTTAATCATAAAAGTATTAAAGGTCATCTACTGGAGAACGTCAGAAGAAAAAAAAAATTGAACTCTCATCGACCACCAACGTTGCCAATTCATGACTCAAATTAATTCTTTATCTTTTCGCATAAACGTAACTCTTTCGTTAACATTAAACAAGGTATATATTGCTCAGGAACGACATGTTTCATGAGCATGCTTTGAGTAGGAAACTTGGAAAATTTTAAAAAAAAGTTGCTCATAAAAAATCTTATTATGTAATCGGATTACTTTCGTCCAACACTGTAATTTGTTCTCAAGTTACGATGTCAGCAACTTTGCAACTTGTTGCTGTTCTCTTTTTTTAGAGATTTTCATCGTCGTTTGACTTCTAACTTCATGCATGCACGAAAAAAATTAACTCACTTAACCTGTGATTACGGTTTAGCTACCACAGTGGATGTTCGCACTAAAGTAAAATCCAGGTTTCGGCAAGGGGTTTTCACAATAATTGAATATCCGCTGCAGAATGTCCGCCTATTGAATTTCCGTGAGGAAAACGTAAATCTCTCACGTTCACATCTTTGCGACAAAGTCAAAACCACTAAAGTGCGGACGTCATATTTTCTTTCCAATTTTTTTTTTCTTTTTTTTTTTCAAAATACCTTTGATTAACCACCTGCCTTTGTATTTCTTTTCTTATATAGTCATTCGTATTTAACACTGAGGTTATATCTGTCAATTTTCTACGTTGGTTCAAACATCTGATCGGCCCACTATTTCAAATGATTAGAGATTGCCCCCAAAAGAGATGTTGGAAAAGCTCGGGAAGGAAGTTCCAAGGAAATACAAGTGATCGCACAAGAGACGGGGGAGATAAATAACATAGCGATTCTGCTGACAATTAATTTTGTTTTGGCGAGCTTAACAAGTCCTTGGCTGCTGCCAGCGACATGTATCACCTTTGTCTCTTCCCGGTAGCTCAAGCAATCGAACGGACAAAGCTTCCCCCATCTAACAACCATAAACGCTCGCGAAATTGAGTTTCAAACTTAGAAGCTTACATTGTTCGACAATAAACCACTGAACCTAAAAATAAATTAAGTTATACGTAAACCATAAATATAGCATTTTTCGGTTCTCCTAGAAGTTTTCTCGAAGCAGGCAACTTATCTGCAAAGATTGGCTCTCATTCTGGACTACAGGATGACTAAAACCTAACACAACCTGTTCCGGAGAACAATAAGTGAGCTAAAAGTCTTATAAGCGATAATGCAACGGAAAAGCACTTTCTTCTCTCGAGGCCGACTAAGTCAAGCTCAAATTCTACAGTTCTATCTTTTTCTAACTATCTACGACTAGCATACCTATCTTTAGGCTCCATTGATACGATGAGGGTTTTCTTAGCTGTACTTTTCTCTCTCTTCTCGAGAAACGCTTTCGTCTCGACTTTGACTTCTTCGCCACCGGCACCCATATCGAAAAGAAATTTCCAGCAGATCTGCTATAAAGCTGCTAAATATTCTAACAGTGTATCCACAGTAACTAATATAAGACAAATCGATGCGTAGGAATTGGGCGAAGATTTCTGAGGGTTTGCGATGCTCTGAGAGCAAAAAAAAAATCTGCAATCCCAATCTGAACGAAATCTGAACGCGTTATGTGTGTTGCCAAATTTGGCGCAGGGCTTTTGATAACCTGAGGGCGGTTCAAAAGCACTTGGCAGGGTGGGGAGGGAGGCTTCCAAACTTTCACAGGTTATTGATCTACACTGCCTTTGTGAGTCCAATATCCTCTAGTTTGAACGTGGTCTAACTCTAAATCCAGGAAATCAATTTTTTACTCATATTTTAACTCAAATTGTGCATTGCTATCTCTAATTTTGCCTTAAAAAAAGTGCTAATCTATCCTCCCATGTAAGAGTGAACATTCCGCCCCCGCTATCACGTGCAGGTCACACATCTTGCATGTAGCGCTGCGGATGTAAGATAGATTTTCGTCATTTTCATTTTTTGCTGATGTAAATCTTTTTATTTTCTTTAAGTAAACTAGTGTTACATTAAGAGTATCACTAGGATTTTGACCTAGTTTTATCGTGTGCGGTAAATTGCAGAGAAACTCGATATGCATCTTTGCTTTGACTATTTGCGACCGGAAGTGGCGGCAAGAGCAAAAAAAATAAAAGAAAAACACTCTACAGGAATAACGTTCGTCCATTGCAAAACATGCCTTTATTGATCTCATTTCACATATCTTCAAACTAAAAGAAAACAACGAAAAAGAGAGGTGCATATTGAAAAGAACAGCTACAAGAGGAACAGCTTAAGAACGATTTGAGTGAAGAGGAGATGCGTGTGTGATAATTTCCGGTCAAATGAACCGAGATATGTTATGCGACCTTTCGTGATTCAGTCTCATAAAAAAAAAAAGCGTTTGCTCACGTCCTACGATGTCTCTCTTTTTTTTTTTTTTTTTTTTTTTTTTTTTAATGAAAGACAACGCTTCAATCCATCAAACAAAAACCATAACAAACGCGAGAAAGAACAAGTAGGAAAGTCTTCCGATTTATCTGGGGAACCCCTGGTAAGTACCTCCTAAACGCCCTGTCCCATAGGGAGCTTTGAGAGGTGAGGTAGGGTTAAGACCAAAGCTAAAATTAGAAAGGCATGTTCAAGCTTGAAAATTCCTGTGCAATTGTTATCCAACCATCTCAGACATTCAATTTTTCCGTTCAGTTAATCACCCTTGAATCAAATGTAAAGGTCATGACAATACAGGAAATGATCACCAATTTAAGAAGCTCCAGATTGTTAAACAAATTCTCCTTCTCAACATCAGAAGAAATATGTAGAGAAAAGTATGGAGAATATGCATACTGATGTTAGGGTGTAAAGAGTTGAAAGATTATTCCTGTTGTGAGGTAGCATTCATTGCTATTACACCTGGCTTACTGGCCCTTACAGAACAAATTTTAGACACTTTGCTTGCATCATGTTTCCAAGGGCCTAAATTTTTTAATTAACTGAAAACATAAATCCAAAATGTTGGCACTCTTTTCCTATTTCAGTCTAAATTACAAACATTTCTCCTAAATTGACTCCCTTTGTGCTTTTTTTCCCTTACTTTTCTCAAGCTGCCTAAATAAATGTTTGTTTGCATGCCTGCTATTATTGTCGTTGTTTTCTGTGAGTGCATGCTTTCACCTTTTTCTCTTGTTTCTTTTTAACCTAATTAAAAATGTTTTGTACCCAAAATATAGCTGATGTCTCACTTAGTAAAATATGAGGAGCCCATAGCTCACTTAAGCCTCTAGGTTTCTCTGTGGGTCTCCTTGCCACATGTTAAATTTTCAGTTACATTTGATTGATGTATATGTAATTTCTTTTATTTATACTAATGTCTTAAACTAAAAAATGACAATTAAACATTGTGCAGTACTAGTAATTTCATACAGCTTCTTTCACAGTATCTCACTTTTTCATAATTCCCTTGCAGTGTGTGCAAAATAAATATCATACTCTTATACTCTTATCACTTCATCAACTAAACCCATTAGCCTGGAGAGTGACTGCAAGCATCATATTTCTCCTCACAGTTTCACTGACAAATCAGACATGAAGGTTATGAGAATAAAGGAAATGGTTGCCAATAAAAGAACTACTTATAATAACCCTTTAACTCCCAGAAGTGATTAACATGTAACTTCTCCCTATAGTATTCATACATTATCCAGTAAACAGGTAGTGAGATTATTCATACTTATCAGGTACAAGATTTAATCTCAATTGAAAACCAAATTCTTGTAACCAATTCATAAGGAAATGTGAAGCAGCCAGAGGAGAGAATTAACAATCAGATCTTGTGATCTCTTTGTCAGTATCATAAGAAATGTAAAGAGAACAGTATGGAGGATGCTTACGCTGATGCAAGAGCATAAATCAGGGTTGAAAAGGCTGAAGACTATTAAACATAAGTAAAAATGATTAAGACTTGGTACATGCTGAGACTCCTTTTCCATAAAATTCAAATAGAGAATAGCCCTTTAATTCCCAGAAATGATTAACATGTTATTTTTAAAAATTAAAATTCTCCCAATAATATCCATACATTATCCAGTACACAGGTAAAGAGAACACTCAAACTTATCAGGTAGAAGCTGTTATCTTGATCTAACAGCAAAGTATTGTAACAAATATACAAGGAAATGAATAGCAGCTAGAAAGGAGAATAATTTAACAACTAGATCTTAAGAGTTGAAGGACTTTTTCTTCATAAACAAAAACTGCAAGACACCACCACATTTGAGTTGTTGGGAATAGGAAAAAAGCAGATGTACTGGTAGATAACATTTGAGAAATAATTTGTATATGGACAGGTTTTTGATGTGACAGACAAACAGTTTTGCACATGACAAAAACACTGGGAGAAAACAGGTTTTCAAATGGATATGATAGCTATGTGGTTTAGCACAAGACTAAAAACTGAGAGAAAACAGGTTTCCAATGTAATTTGACAAATGGTTTTGCATGTCACAACAAAAAAACTAAGAGAACAATTGATATTACAGAGAAGGCATGAAGTAGTTAAAGGCTGTGACATAGTTTGAACCCTAGTTGCAAAATCTGATGGGGGGAGAGGGACTATTTGTGCCTCAATACTTAGTACTCAGTACATGGAAGAGGGGAGGTATTTTGCCACAAAACGTTAAGCCATGATCTTTGCCTTCTAGTAGAACATACTATATACAAATATTAGTGCAATATTTGCCAAGGGGGTGAGCAATGGTCAAAAGTAAGGAGATCTCCAAATCAAACATAGCCTGTTGAATAATGATTGCAAGCCTCTTAACTGAAACTCGTCCTAATGAGATGCCTGCACTACAGGCTAAACTTAGTAACTGAGTGGGAGGGCTAGATGGTAAAATATTTGTCTTCAGGTCCAAGCATCATGATGGAGAGCCAAATATTTCCCTATCTAGCCTCTGTTTTACCAAATGATTACTTACAAGTCTTACAAATTTAAAATTATGTTTGAACCAGGATAAGAACAAATTACATACCTAAGAAGCACATCCACTGCACATGTGCGTAAAAGGTTCTATGAAAACTTTTCCCATCTTATCTTTTTATTGCTATTTTTTTTTTTTTTTTTTTTTTTTTTTTTTTTTTTTTTAATAAAAGACATTTTTCTTCAAAAACAATATGCTGCTTACACTAAATAGGGCTGTGTTTGGTACACCAATTTCACTAATCGGATCACCAGGTATATTACTGGCTTCAATAAGATTGGCTCAGGAATGTTGCTGGCACCAATCAAATTACACTAGATCTAAAGCTTGCATCATTCAGACAGTGTTACTGGGATTTGTTTCATTTTGTATGGTCACATGCAAAATAATTACTTAAAAATTGATGTTCAAAGGCAACTTTTTCTGTGCTGTATGATATCAAGATGCTGCATAATACCTGTTGTACTTGAGGATTACAGTACTACCACAGCATCAGTAGCAGAAATAGATATTTCTGTTTTACTTATTTAATTCCACAGTGACAAGGACTGGTACAGTATGTTTACTTAATTTGTGCTTCCATTGTTACATTGTATATCTGATTGTTTGTTTTTAGAAGTTTTCGGTGTTTTAAATTGCATTTAAGCAATACAGCTTTGTCATAACTTGTAACTTTTGTTTAGACATGAAATTTCTATTCAATCTTTCCTTACTGATAAATTTCTCACGCACAAAAATGCCGTTGTTAGCAAATTTTCTAGACATTCTTTGTACCTTGCCATAAACAAATTTGCCCTTAGCTGCCTGGGACTTTGCCACACCTCTTCTTGTATACAACCTTGCTCGTTATCAGCTTATAAAAAACCTGCATTTTAATATGTGTTCCAGAGAGGCAAATTCCAAACCAAGATGACACAGAAAAATGATCCTTGTCTCTTTGTTCGACAAATTTGAATTACTTCAGAGAGCAGAAACTACTGGATGTCTTTGGTTGGGGTTTAGTGGAGATAATAAATTGAGTTTCCAGTTTGCTTTGCAATGTGAAATTATGCAGTATGATATTGCATGGTCTGTGATGGAACAATTTTGATTTTGTGAATGACAGAGGAACAGAAGTAAGCATGGCACTGATGCAGTTTATTTTTGCTCATAATCACAAAGAAAAGTGAGATAATAGATTACAAAACACCTTTGTCTAAATTATTGGTACTTCAGACAGGTTATTTGCTCTTTATTAAAGAACAGTAAAGTGATATTTTTGTTGAAATGTTAATTTACAAGGCCCCAAGGGGGCTTTTGATGTTGCTATGTGGCTCATTTACCATCACCTACTTGCTTAGGGACAAATGTTGCTGTCACTTTTTCCCTTGAATAAAAATGCTGCTGTCATACTGAATTTGGCACTACAGTAATTTCTGACTTGTGCTAGCACCTGTAAGTGTTTTCTTTTTAACATAAGATCAACCATACATAAATTTCTATTGGCTTAAATAGAATTAAAAATTACAGTGATCACTTCAAGGCCTAATATTTGTGTTTCAATTTTGATTGGTGGCTTAGCTTTCTAATAGCTTCCTCACTCATGTAATCATCTTTACACATAGTCATGAAGAAAACAATTCCCTTTGGATAAACGTCAAA